TAAGTCGTTACTATTTCATATCAAGAATTTTGAGTAACTTCTATTTTATTTTTTGTTTTTTATGGGGTGCCAAAATGTTCTGAAGAATAAAAATTAACTTGAAGTGTGTATATGTTGCTAGTCATGACATCTGTTTCCTCTCTTTCTAGAAAGTCCCTTCCTATTTCATTTACCTTTTTTATCTTAATTTTTGGTGTTTGCATAAGGTCATTGTGATGTAGTGCATATATATGGCTTGTTCAAGCCCAAGTAGGAAGTGAAGGCCCAAACAAATATAAAAGGCCCCATTTGTCAAACGGGCCAATGACCACCACTGTAAAGGAAGTTCCTATTGGCCTATGCTATGTTATGGTTAATAGGATATTTAACAAGGGAAGGATATTGTAAATATCACTCTACGTTAGTCACGGTAGCAAGCGGATTTCGGCGTAACTTCCCGGTAACTGCCTAAGTATAGGAGCTTTATGAGACTCCTCACATAAAGCAAACCAACTCAAGCCAGGGATTAGTTAAATGAAAGCGCCAGCTCATGGATGAACGATCAGAGTGACTAATCGGCAAAGCAGCGCAGCACCATAAAGAGTCAAAGGTACCACACGAACGAACTAAGCAACAGGGTCCGAAGGAGTAGTAGCGTCTGGTGTGGGAGCAAGGAGTAGTTAATGGAAGGACCATAAATATACAATAAACATTAAGAGCCTGACCACCGAAGCATTTTCATTACTTTCCACAGAAGAGAGCATAAACAAAATTCAATACACAAACAAAAATGACTAGTGGTATGTAAGTCTCTTCAAGAGTGAGCTTGCGCTGCCGTTCCACTTAGGTAAACACCATATCCCTCTATTCGAATCAAGTTGAGTTACTACCAAGTTACTACCAATCAATCTCACCGTTAGATCGATTATGTTGATCCAACGGTTATATTTATTTCCATCTTTGTATGGTTATGATTTCCCAAATTTAATATTTTATATTTATATCCACCTTTGTATGGTTATGATTTCTCATATTTAATGCTTTCATTTTAAATATGAGGAATCATAACCATACAAAGATGGAAATAAATATAACTGTTAGATCAATATAATCGATCTAACGGTGAGATTGATTGGTAGTAACATGGTAGTAATACAACTTGGTTGTTACAATATCCTTCCCCTATTTAATAATAGAGTTTTATAACCGCCCCTAATGAGAATGTGATAAAATTAAGTTATATTTTTTTGTTTATACAAAGTGAGTTATGTTTCTTCAGCTGCTGCAAAGACACTGTTCCATGTGCAACAAACAAATGATTTTCATGATACGGTTCCGTATCCTGAAAATCATGTGTCAATTGCAGATAACTTCTATGCGGCAACATAAGATTAATAGAACCCTTATACAAAACAGGTCAAATATAAACTAAATAAAATTTATAAGAAGTAATAGGGTTTAAGTTAATGTTTTACAAAACAAATTTAGATATATTCAGTAGCAATTTTTATTTATTTATATCCATCGGTTCATGGATTATATGATTAGTCTGATTCAAGTACAGACAGACTCATTATAAGGGCCGATTCTCCCAAGACTACTTTTTCAATTCTCAAGGCTCGAATTTGAGATTTTTTATTAAGATTAAGCTCTTTACCACTTGAACCAGTCATTGTTGATAATTAATAATTTTTTCCACACATAATAACTAATACTTTATATATATATATATATATATATATATATATATATATATATATATATATATAAAGAAAGTTATATTTATAACCTTTTTCACTTACAATCTCTTACAATTAAATCTTAACCGTTGATTTTTGCAATTTGACCGTTATAATTTATTAAAGAAAATCAACGATTAAGATTTTGTTGTAGTTAATTATAAACGAATTTTTTTTATAAATATAACCTCCCTCATATCCAATAAATTAATTGACAGAAATCAACAGTTAATATTTGATTGTAAAAGGTTGTAAACAAAAAAAAATTGTAAATGTAACATTTTTCTGTTTATTTATTTTATTTTTTTGAATAAACTACATGTATCCTCTACGGGAAGATTATAACCATCAAAACAACAGATCGATCGAACACATACTTTGACCTCACCTGCTCTATTCCAATGCGTCAACTAATCTACCATTGATATATTTATTTGTTGAAAGATGGTTATGGATAGAGAGTTTGTCGTTGTCTTAGTAATTTTTTTAGTAAATGAGATTGTTGTATTTTAAAGTCAATCAGCACATGTTAAAACTTAAGTGAGAACCACGATTTATAGTAATATTTACAAATGAACCTATCAACGAAGGATCACACACACAAAAGTTTTAATGGTGTATAGAAGATCATACATCTATACTTCCGTGCATGTTATTGTGAGAAAAAAATCTTTTAAGGATAAAAAGAAAATACACTTAATGAAAAGAAGGTTGAGAAAAATAGATTTTGATCACACACTTCAACCATTTCCTTATTAATTTGATCCTCAGTCGACATCGTTGAAAAGTGATAAAAATGACACATTTATAAGAAGTTACGTTGCAAATTAAGGACTGTGATTGGAATAACTATGTGCTAGAAAATTTGAAAGAGAATCCTTGAGTGAGAAGGCGTAGGCTGGTTCTTTTGATTACAGTCTTTAAATTAAAACCTTTACTCAGTACTTATGGGAGAAGCTTAAAATGTTCAAGAACAGTGTTTTTGTTTTATATCTATATACATTCACATGTGATTTTGGCCCAAAACTGAGATTTTGGTTAAGTTAAAGTCACACCAACGTTTTTAGCACATTTTCTCATCTTCCATAATATTTCTTCTCATGGCTGGCTGCTAAGTTGTATCTTGTTAAGGAAGTATATAGGTCACCGCTTTTATAATTGTAAATCCCTCATCTTGATAGAATCACAGTTCTACCGTAGAATAGGGATGAAGAGAAGAAGAGAATACGAACAGGGAAAGAGATGAGAGAAGAATCACGTAATTTTTATTCACTATTTTTCTCCAAGCTACAACCTTTGTTCCTCTATTTATATTCAGAGGGAACAAGTTAGTTACAACTTCTTGTAACTGTATTATCTACAAACAATTCGTAAAATCAGTACAACAAACAACAATCAAGCTATTCCTACTTACATACAAATTCTTCATCATTGAATCGATTTGGTTTCCTTACAACTCTTTTGGGCCTCCTTTCTGCTATGGACTGCCTAGCTTCCAGCTCCACTGATCCATCTTGAACTCTTGTATCAGCATGCATCCTTGAATCTCCTTCTTCTTCTTCATTCAGATTCAACAAGTCTTCTGAGAGTTCTCTAGAACTTGACTCATAAAGTACCATTTGACTTCCATCTGTCGGTTGTGCATTTTGGGTTGGGTTGTTGCCCATTTTATCTGGGCTTAGGTCACTTGGGCCCATATCAACACCTCCCCCATTAAAATCAACCTTGTCCTCAAGGTTGATGGATGGAAACTGCTTGGAAAACTCCTCCCAAGGTTCCCATGTGACATTCACCTGGCATGCCTGCCCACAGTACTTGCACCAGTTTAATGTGAGAATCCCTTGTTTGCTGTATGTGAGTAGACATAATTTGTTGAGGCTCTAAAACAGGTAGTCCACCTTGAAAAATTTCTGGCAGTGGTAATGGGGAAATAGGTTGTTCACCCTTAAATGGCTTAAGTAAGGATACATGGAATGTATGGTATATCTTGGCAGTAAGTGGTAAGCTCAACTTATATGCCACCTTACCTACACGTTTCAGAATTGGAAATGGTCCAAAATACCTCTTGGACAGCTTATTGGAGGTCCTGTTGGCTACTGAAACTTGTCTATATGGTTGCAGCCATACCCATACTAAGTCTCCAGCTTTATATTGGACATCCCTGCGATGTTTGTTAGCTTGATCTCGCATGACTTGCTGAGAATGAAGCAAGTTCTTCTTCAATTGAAACAGAATAATCTTCCTATTTTCCAACCAGTTATCCACATCTTCTAATTCAGCAGTAGAGGATATATAGTGCAGAATAGATGGAGGATCACGGCCATATACCACCTTAAAAGGTGTCATGCCAGCTGAAGTATGGTAGGAAGTGTTGTAGCAATATTCAGCCCAATGCAAGATATTAGACCATTTTTTGGGGTTATTTGCTACAAAGCACCTGAGGTACTGTTCTAGGACCCTGTTGACTACTTCTGACTGACCATCTGATTGAGGATGGTAGGCTGTTGTTCTTCTCAAATTAGTGCCACTGAGTTCAAATAATTCTGTCCAGAATCTACTGAGAAAGATAGGATCTCTATCTGAAATTAAGGATATAAGAATACCATGCAGTTTACAAATCATATGAGTGAAAAGATCAGCTACCTTAGTTGCTGAGTACCTCTTTGGTAGAGCACCAAAGTGAGCTTGCTTGGACAGCCTGTCCACAACCACTAGGATTGAAGTATAGCCATGTGACAGTGGTAAGCCAACTATGAAATCAAGGGAGAGATCTTCCCAAACTCGTTCAGGTACAAGTATAGGCTATAAAAGACCAGCAGGGCTTCGGGTTTGGTACTTCACTTGTTGACAAGTCAGACAAGAGTTAACAAACTCCTTAACAAATTTTCCTGGCCATATAAAACTTGCAGTGGTCCTGGACAAAGTTTTCTGAATACCTGTATGACCACTAGTTAAAGTGGAGTGATTTTCCTGAAGCACTTGTGGGATCAAGGGAGAAGTTGGATCCAAGAGAAGCTTGCCTTTGTGTAATAACAGACCTTCCCGAACCTCATAATCAGAACAGAGTTCTGGTTCAGCAGCTAGCTTCTGATGTAATTGCTGAAAAAATGGCCTGTGCTGATTTTCTTTTTTTAAATCTTCTAGAATATCAAAATGAACTACTGCCAGAGTCATTAAAGACATAGTAGGGTACCTAGAAAGGGCATCAGCCACCCTATTTTCCTTACCCGGTTTGTAAACTATGGAATATTGAAATCCCAAAAGCTTGGCTAAATAATATTGCTATTCAGGTGTCTGAATAACCTGATCCAGCAAGCTCCTTAAGCTCTTTTGATCTGTCCTCATAGTGAATCTCCTCCCCAAGAGATAATGCCTCCATTTCTTGACAGATTCAGTGATGGCATACAGCTCCCTCACATAGGCTGAGCTCTTTTGCATTCTCAATGATAACTTCTTGCTGAAATAGGCAATGAGATGTTCACTTTGGAGAAGGACGGCCCCAATTCCCAAATCTGAAGCATCAGTTTCTACTATAAACTCCATAGAAAAATTCGGTAAACTCAAGACAGGGGCAGAAGTCATGGCTGTTTTGAGACTAATAAAAGTTGTATGAGCTTTATTGGACCAAACAAAAGAGTCAGTCTTCAGTAAGTCTGTTAATGGGGCAGCTATTGATGCATAGTTGCACACAAAACGCCTATAATACCCGGTTAGACCCAAAAATCCTCTGAGCTGTTTAATATTTTTTGGAGGTGGCCAATCTACCATAGCTTGTACCTTGTTAGAATCCATACTAACTCCTTGCACTGACACTACATGGCCTAAATATTCAACCTCTGTTTGGGCAAATGCACACTTACTCCTTTTCACCAAAAACTGATTTTCTTTCAAACAAGTCAGCACCAATTTCAAATGCTCTAAATGCTGTTCTAATGAAGAGCTGTAAATTAAAATATCATCAAAAAATACAGCGACAAACTTACAAAGAAAAGGTTGGAGAAGTAAGTTCATAGTAGCTTGGAAGGTGGCAGGTGCGTTGGTCAACCCAAATGGCATCACAAGGAACTCATAATGACCTTGATGAGTCCTAAAAGTTGTCTTCTGTATGTCAGCCGGGTGTACTCGCAGCTGGTGGTATCCTGCCCTCAAATCCAACTTAGAAAATATCTGAGAACCACCTAGTTCATCCATTAACTCATCTGCAGTGGGTATGGGAAATCTGTCACAGGTTGTGATATTATTGAGAGCTCTATAATCGATGCAAAACCTCCATGTACCATCCTTCTTCTTAACCAGCAAAACTGGAGATGAAAATGGGCTGGTACTGTTCCTAATGAACCCAGATTCAAGCAATTGTTGAACCTGCCTTTCTATTTCTCCCTTTTGGAAATGAGGATATCTATACGGTCTAACATTGACCGGAGCTGAGTTAGGCTCTAAATGGATTTCATGATCCAATTGCCTATGAGGAGGTAACTCATGTGGCTCTTGGAATATGGTGTTAAACTCTTCTAGCAAGTTCTGGACAGGAGGAGCAATAGCTGGCTCTTCTCGAGGAGAACTAGAACTCAACAAAGTGAGTTGGTAGAGTGATGCAATCTGGCCTGTATGTTGGATTTTTCTGAATTGGTTCAAAGAAATAGGACTAGTGTGTTTATCACCTTGCAATTTAATTGTCTCTCCTTGCCAAGAAAATTGCATTGTAAGGTGAGTGTAATCCAACACTATAGGTCCTAAAATCTGCAACCATTGAACTCCTAACACCATATCTGCTCCTTGAATAGGCAAGATATAAAAATCAACCAGAAAAACATGCTTTTGAATCTGAACTGGAACAACTGGACAAAATCCCTCACACTTCATTGTTTGTCCATTTCCCACCATGACATCAAACTGCTTGTCAGTCACCAGTGGTAAACGAAGGGTAGAAACCACTCTTGGTTGGAGAAAATTGTGGGTGCTTCCCCCATCAGCCAATAAGGATAATTCAGACTTGCCAATGTGGCAATTGAAGCGAAGAGTTTGAGGTACACTAAAGCCAGATAAGGCATGGAGGCTGATCTGAGGTGTAGGGTCAGGTTCATCTGTGGTTTCTTGTGGTGTGTTCATAGAGTCAATATCCTCAAGGTCAAGTTGCTCATCATCCGGAACAATTAAAACATGAACAGAGGCTTTGCATTTATGGCCCATGAAGCATTTATCACCACAATAGAAACACAGTTTCTTGTCTCTCCTCTCTTGGATTTCACTCTGGGTCAAACGATTAAGAGGACTTTTGGTGGAAATAGTGGTGTCACCACTGGGTATTGGTTTGAATTGTTTAGTCTGAGTGTTTGGTGTAGGTAATAAAGGGGGGTAAGGAGAGTGAATTTTAGGATAAGTGTGTTTGGTTTGGAGCTTAAGCTCCTGAATCTTGGCTAGAGCTATGGCTTTGGTTAGGGTAAGGGGATCAAAAGAGGAAACCTCATACTGAATTTGAGGTTTTAAGCCTGAGATAAAGCAACTCAATAAGAAGGATTCAGGTAACCCATTTACCTTGTTGGACAGAGATTCGGATTCGGCTTGATACTCCATGGAAGAACCCAGTTGCATTAGCTTAGCCAATTTCCCTTGATAGTCTTCAAGCTCAGAAGGTCCAAAACGCACTTGAAGAGATTGTAGAAATCCTTCCCACGATCCTATGGTTGTGTTCTTGTTCAACCAACGATACCAAGCTAAAGCTTTCCCCGAAAAATAGAATGAGGCTATCTTCAGTCGTTGCTCATCAACAATGTCATAGTATTCAAAAAATTGACTTATCTGATAAATCCAATCTTGTGGGTCTGAAGAACCATCAAACTTCGAAACCTTGAGACGCAGGTTCTTTGTTGCCGGAAAATCCTTGGGACCCAGGTTGTGGTTGCTACCAGAAGAAGCGGTTGAAGGTTGATGTTCTCTGTAGTTGTCGAAGATCGCATCGAGCTTGCATGTGATCTCCAGGAATTGTTTGTTCATCTGACTCTTGAGGTTGTCGATTTCAGATTGGGTTTGATCAACCCTATCGTCGAGAGTTCGAACACGGTTGTCGGGTGCCATGTTCAGGGATGAAAGCACCAGTTGATAGAATCACAGTTCTACCGTAGAATAGGGATGAAGAGAAGAAGAGAATACGAACAAGGAAAGAGATGAGAGAAGAATCACGTAATTTTTATTCACTATTTTTCTCCAAGCTACAACCTTTGTTCCTCTATTTATATTCAGAGGGAACAAGTTAGTTACAACTTCTTGTAACTGTATTATCTACAAACAATTCGTAAAATCAGTACAGCAAACAACAATCAAGCTATTCCTACTTACATACAAATTCTTCATCATTGAATCGATTTGGTTTCCTTACAACTCTTCTGGTCCTCCTTTCTGCTATGGACTGCCTAGCTTCCAGCTCCACTGATCCATCTTGAACTCTTGTATCAGCATGCATCCTTGAATCTCCTTCTCCTTCTTCATTCAAATTCAACAGGTCTTCTGAGAGTTCTCTAGAACTTGACTCATAAAGTACCATTTGACTTCCATCTGTCGGTTGTGCATTTTGGGTTGGGTTGTTGCCCATTTTATCTGGACTTGGGTCACTTGGGCCCATATCACATCTGCTGGAAAGAGAAAATCTATGTCTATTGGCAATACCATTTTCTTTATCCCCAATGAGTTCTTGGAGAAAGAAACACCTTAGCTTGGTGGATTGATAGAGTGAAAGTTGAGCCTTAAAGGTAAGCCATACCTTTTCAGCTCAGTACATTTGATTAGGTTTGCAGTTTCGGATACCACGGGAAATTTCATGAATAGCTTTTCTTACCCCCTTTTTATCTAACATATCTCTAGTTGTGGCTCTTGAAATCACATATTCTGATACAAAGTGGTTGATTTTTATTTGTTTCATATTCTGATATTAGCAAAACTGTCTAATAAGTCTCAGGCATCCTCAAAACACAAACATTTCTGCAGATTTCTGGGTGAAGGTCAGGAACAAGAAATACCGTTAGGGATTGGAATATATTACAAATGTAGCAGCAAAGACTGAACATTTTAAGAGATCTTAGTAGCTGTCTTCCTGATAGCACAAAAGTGCAAAATGCTGGAACCAAATAAATGGGTGGCGTAAGTTTGTTTATCATCATGAAGCTGGATCCTAAAGTTAGGACAATTCAATGTCAAACTACAATAGAAGGAAATCAGAAACCTGAATTTTGCTTTGAAGGCCATACGTGCATTATATCTAGATGTTACCTTTGTCCCTCTATTGATGATATAATAGGCAAGTTTTTCCGCAATTTGTTTGCTTAATAATATCTTCAAACCCAATCTTTTAACCATCATCACAAACTCTTCACTAGAGTTTGCTTTCTAAAGAGTTAAAATAGGAGAGGTTGGGGTGGGGATAATATGAAAATTGACAATTGCTCGATTGGCAGGCTGTGGGGAGAAAATCTGGGTTTGATTCACACCAAATACATTTTTAGAGAAATTGTTAGAGAATAATATAAATCATTTAAAAGGCCCTCACCTAACACCTTCAGGTTTTGGGTTGAAGTGGTTCTTTACATGGTATCAAAGCTTCAGTGACCATAAAGTCACGAGTTCGATCCTCACCGATCCTCACCGCCACCCACTTGTGGAATTAAATAGAAAAAAGCACAAAAGAAGGTAAACCAAAAATTGGGCCTGTGCAATATCCACACTTCAAGCCCAAAGGGCTCTTGTGTGAGGGGGTGTGTTAGAGAATAATATAAATCATTTAAAAGGCCCTCACCTAACACTTTAAGGTTTTGAGTTGAAGTGGTTCTTTACAGAAATGAAGAGCTTTAAGTATTATTAAATTCCGATTCGGTATTAATCTCCTAACCGGCTTAAAGAGTTGAAACTTGTGGGGTAACTGAAGGCCCGACTCGCCTTAAAGAGGTTTAAACAAAAAAAAAAAAAAATTGACAATTCATTTAGACATAATACTAACTTATTACGATTATTACTCCTCCAGTGCCCCCTCTTCCCCAAAACTCCTATTTTTTTATTTTTTTTTTGCAAAACTCCTATTTTCAATTCTAGCAAGCACACTCTGCACCATTAACAAAGCAGACACGGTAGTTTCCTTCCAAATTTATAAGGCAAGCCGAAAAAGTTAAATTAGAATAAAAAAAAATTAAAACAGAAATTTTGTTTCCTGGCCAAAACGTCAACATTATCAGGAAGTTTGTCAATAGTTTTCTAATGACATACAGCATTTCTAATAATAATGGGAATAGCCAGAGTAATCTTCCAAGAGCTCAAATAAAAGAAGAAAAACAAAGGCACAACTGCAAAGGGAGAGGTAATTTCATCATCAATTTACCAAGAAAAACTGATAAACAACTGATGAATTATTTTAGCTGTTTGTTGTTAGCTTTCAAAAAAAAAAAGGCCTAAAAATATGTTAATGCTACATAATTTCTCAGTTGCCAACCAAACTGACACATAAAGCAAAAGGATCAAATGTGGTGGTTTCCACTCAATCTTAGGCTATCCTAATAATGTCTCCGGTTGGAAATAAATCATAATCTGAATCAATATGCAACAGCAGCACCCTCTATCAATTCATACATATTAAGATAAATTATGAAAAAAAACAAAAAAAAAACATTAAGTAGCCCCTCAAATTGCTTAGTAAAGGTAGCATATATTCTTTACCACAAAAAGAAAAAAGAAAAAAAAGGTAGCATAGATAGATCCAAAAGAGAATAGATCTCAGGGGATGAAGGCACAAGAGAAAACCTGGCGAGGCAACCTCAAAGCCTCAGATTTAGAGAAACACATGTCATCAATGAACTGGCTGGTGCACCAGCTGCACTTGGAGTTCTGTGAGCACTGTGACTTCAACACCAGCTCTCCACAATTGGGGATGAGCCTCCGAGTTGAGCCATCCTGAGCCAACCCATGAGAGGATTTGCAGAGAGAAGCAACAAAGAGGAGGATGAGGAAAAGGAACACTGACTTGGATTTGAAGATAGAGAACACCATGGATGATATATGCAAACCTCAAAGATGTTGTCTGTCACCTTTGAAATGGTTTAAATCTAAATGTATTGGTAAGCCTTCTTATTCTTAGTTCCCTAAAATATAACCAAAGCTACTATTTTTGTTTTTGTTTTTGTTTTTTTAGTTTTATTTGAGGCACATTGAAAGAAGATTTGGTAAAATTTCAGGACATAAGAAAACGACGTTGGAACGACATGATTGAAACCACGGGTGGCTGGAAGTACCTTGGTCTAAGTTTGAGCTTTGAAAATTAGGTTGTTGTTTTTTTTTTTAGCTTTGAAATGTATTGTTTTTAAAAATTTAATAAAAATTGATAAAATTTTTAAATATAATATTATAATATTTTTATATTAATATATTTTACTATAAAATATATATATATTATAAAAGTTTTTCTGGTTTTTAATTTGCAAAGTATTAACTATAAAAAAATTAATTTATATATTGTATATAATTAAATATAAATATATCTATAATGTTTAGATTTTTTGGTTTTTGTTTTATCCAATTCAATTTAATCAAATTCGAATACTGCCGAATTTATATTGGTCATCTCTACCAATATTATTCTTACCCGTAACATTCGAATTTAATACATCTGATTAAGACTTTTTAAATTTGATTATAGATTAATCTGCCCTAATCTAAATATCAGTTATTTCAGTCTAAATTTACATTAGTTCAGGTAAAGATTTAAAAGAACGTCTCAATTAAACATATCAGTAGGGATTGAGACACTCCTAACACGTCATACGAAAAGTCCCTATTTGAACAATGAATAATTGAATGTGACTGTTTCCTCGTTCTAACGACATCGTTTCTGGTTTTCCTATATAATAATCATAATTTTACTCAAAATTATTTAAAAGAAAAACTAATCAGTATTATGGGCCTAGTGAGTAAAGGATGGCCTACATGCATCATATAACCCCGCTCCCAAAAAAAAAAAAAAAAAAAAAAATTCCTTTCAGACGAAGGATGGCTATTGTTTTTATCCTGGCACTTTAAAGACATACCAAAATGTTGCCCTCAAATAGCCACTTTTAAGGTCAAGGATGGCCTACTATTTTATATTATACAATCCATCATCGGTCTTGGAGTCGGGTTTCAATTTGAGTTCGAGTCAAAAAAATTATATATGTGTTTTTTTTAGTTAGTTCATGTCATAATATTTTTAAATTATATTAAATAAAAAATACCTGAGCAAGTAGCACTAAGAAGAGTTATAATTTTATTAAATATTTTTAATTTTACTAAAAATAATTTATTTATTTTATACATGTGAAAATTAGACACATAACCAAATACAATTTACCCAAATCTTTCACCAAAAATATTTTAATTTTTACATAAGGTCAAATTACAATTTTAATTCGGGCCAAATTATAATTAATTATATAATTATATATAATCAATACAATTTGTTAAAATTTAGTCCGGATCGAGGCGACACCCAGCTACGTGTGACTCCGCCACCACTGGTCACACCTAAAGGCACATATACTGTAAGAGTTCCATAGCACTCCACCAATAGACAATGCTTTCATTTTATAGATATATCAAAAGGTTGTAACCATCTTCTATTGGCAAGGCCTTAGAAAAGATGGGCAATTCTTCGTTTTCCAATTGTCTGATTTGTGAATAGACCAAAATACTCCATAGCAAAGGCGCAAGGCCTACTCCAAAATTTCCAAGAAGCCATTTTCCTCACTAAATTTTGGAAAAGATACTCAATTAGAAATCTCCGGCGTTGCCTTGGGTTGGGGGTAATTTTGGAACTGATCCAATTATCAAAGCAATAAGTTAGGTTGGTTTTGATTTGTTAGATTTTTTTCTTCAGCCCAACCCATTTATGACTAGTAAAGTCATTACGTATATGAAATATGGAAACAAGAGACGCGTGCATAAGTTCACGTATAATAAATTTCAGGGGTTTGTTTTTGTAGGAAAAAACATACTTCTCCACACATTACAAGATGAGTCATTATTATTTCTTTCTTTTTTAACGGTGAGCCCACAAGCTTTGTTTTTATAGCACGATATATCATATATCATGCAACATTATATTTATATTATCCTAAATTTTAATTCAAGAGATGTGCAAAATAAATTAAAAAGTAATATCATAAGTTTTGATAAACATAAGTTTTAAATGAATTAAGGTAACATAATAAATTCCAAAAATCATAAAGAATAAATCACATAACACAATTGAACTTAATGTCATTACAAATAACATATGAATTAATGAGAAATTGAAAATGAAATGGGGAACTAAAGTCTAAAGAAATAACAACGCATTTTACATTATTTTTTTGAAAAAAAAATACGTTGAATATTTTTAAACTGAACCCAATCATCAACCCACCATTTATGAGTTAAATTGGGTCAAAACTCATGAGTCATGAGTTCATGCGTTGACTCAAGCCATGGAACACTACTATATTTAGCATGAGTTTTACTAACCTGCATTACATCATAACATACCATCCTATGATCAAATAGAGGTTCTCAATCATTGCTTTGAACAGTATTTGAGACCCTTCACCTTGAAGCAACCTAGTTTGTGCTACCATGGGCAGAGCTATGGTATAACATATTTTACCAAATCACAATTGCCATGACAAGTACTAGTATATTTTTTTTTTTTGATAACCACAAGTACTAGTATATTAGGAAGGCACTACCCTGAGAAATCAACTTAGGAATAAAGGGATAAACATGGTCATCGCATTCCCCAACCTTAATCTTGAGGACAATGTTACCTTTGAATGGGGTTATATTAACACAAACCCAAAAGGCAAACAACAAAAGAGGATCAAGAAAGCACCAAACATGGCCAAAAGAATTTGACTGTAAGAGATGCAAACCTGACAACTGACAAGTCAAATCTGACTGCTAAGCTTAGAGGTGGAATGGCGAAATAGATGATGACAAATATAATAAATGACATGTATCATAACTGATTCTAACTAATTTAGTTGGGAGTTATAGAAGTTAAGCCAATAACAACTCATTATTTAGTTAGTAATATTATAATCTATAGGAGAGAACTAATCATTTTCCTTAAAATAATTGTAAAGAAAATACTTTCTTGCATACCAAGATAAGAATGGTAAGTACAATGCCATTCATCAAATAAAGAACTTTATTTCCCTAATGTTTCTTTTGGGGCACTCCTGATAATCTCAATCCGAATTAACTGGCACAACGCACAAAACCATGCATGCAACAAATAAGTAAAATTCATTAACAAGTGAAAATATTGAAGTTAACGAGTCAAACTACCCCTGAATTTGTACGGAGGAATGTTTAGTAATAATTTTATGAAACTTTTTTTTAAAATATATTTATCATTAGTGGAACTTTATCTTGACTCAATTAAATAATTTCATTTCATTTTTTATTACTAAAATTATATTTATTTAATAATGATAATAAAAAAAAAAACTTAAAGGAGAGCGTTAACGTGTATATTTCTCTCCTGTATTCTTCACCTTTTTTAAAAATTTCCAAATCAACCAAGCGTTGACCCTCAATTGTGGAAAATTCTATACGCGGTTCAACGAGGAAGAAAGGATCCCAAAACTTGGAAGAACCCAGAAACGAAAAAAAATCCTTCTTTTTTCTCTCCGCTGCTTCTCAGTTCTCTCTCTCTCTCTTCGTCCATTTTGAGGTGCGAAGCTCCAACGACAAAAAAAAAAAAAAAAAAAAGAGCCATTTTTCTTCTTTACTTTTTTTTTTTTTTTTTTTAACGAAAGTAGCAGTTGGATTTAATTTTTCAATTATTGTTGCTTTACGTGTAATCTTCTCCAATTTTCCCCATCAAGGGAAAGAAAAAGAATACAATATTTTATGGGGAAAATTCAACCCCTGATACTGTAAGTTTTGTCAGAGCTTTTTTTGGCAAATATGGGACAGAAAATGAACTTTGCTTATTTGGGTATTTGAAGGTAACAGAGGAGGAAGCTGAAAACTTTTTCTGTTTTGTGATTTTGATTATTTAATGGGCTATGCTGGAATCAGAGGGTTGTGGATTGTTTCCCTTTGTGAATAGGTAGGTCTATGGGGTTTTGGAATTATTGGCTATTGTTAATTTTGCTGTAGGTGGATTTTTTGGGGTTTTGTCTTGGTCAGATTTGGTAACGAGTTTTTCTTTTTTCTTTCTTTTTTTTTAGGTTGTGGAATGTCCCTGTATCTATAAGGTGATTGAGGGTTGGCTTCTTTTAAAAGTTTGGGAATTGATTGGTTTTTGGGTCTTGAAATTGGGATTGGAGTTTGAGTGATGGATGAAGCACAGGGAAATTCAAGTTCCCTGCCTCCTTTCCTGGCAAAGACTTATGAGATGGTGGATGATCCTTCCACGGATCCAATTGTTTCTTGGAGTGCCACTAACAAAAGTTTCGTTGTATTGAATCCCCCAGAATTTGCAAGGGATTTGTTGCCTAGGTTCTTTAAGCACAATAACTTCTCAAGTTTTATCAGGCAGCTGAACACATATGTAAGCAAATTTAATCTTCTTGTTGATATGATATGATATGAATGCTTGTTTTGTATTTATTTTCCCATTCTGCTTTTGGTTGCTTCAACTGAGTCCTAGTCTCTATTGATTAGGGATTTAGAAAAATCGACCCAGAACAATGGGAATTTGCCAACGATGATTTTGTTAGAGGACAACCACATCTTATGAAGAATATCCATAGGCGAAAGCCGGTTCATAGCCATTCCTTACAGAATCTCCAAGCACAAGTCCCACTAACGGAGTCAGAAAGGCAAAGTCTAAATGATGAAATTGAGAAGCTTAAACATGATAAAGAACGACTTGGTATGGAGTTACAGAGATATCAACGTGAGTGGCAATCATATGAGATACAAATAAATTTCTCAAAAGATCAGTTGGAGAAGTTGGAGCAGAAGCAACAAAAGATGGTCTCTTCTGTTTCTCAATTATTGCAGAAACCTGGAATTGCTGTTAATCTACTGCCACTGACAGAAACCATGGATAGAAAACGAAGGTTGCCAAGAAGTGTCTACTTTAATGATGAGTCTAGCATTGATGGTGCTATTGAAACTTCTCAAATGTTACCCAGAGAAAATGCAGAGAGTACCTCTGGTTTGACATTAAACATGGAGAGATTGGATCAGCTTGAGTCATCCCTAGTGTTTTGGGAGACTATTGCACACGATGTTGCTGACACCTTAGTTCACATTCATTCAAACATGGATTTTGAAGAATCTACAGCTTGTACTGATAGTCCATCTATATCTTGTGTGCAACTAGATGTTGAGCTTCGGCCTAAGTCATCTGGAATTGACATGAACTCTGAGCCAACTGCAGCTGCTGTTCCTGAGCCCGTTGCATCAAAAGAAAAACCTGTGGGAACCGCCACTGCAGCAACTGGTGTCAATGATGTATTCTGGGAACAATTCTTGACAGAGGATCCTGGTGCATCAGAAGCTCAAGAAGTGCTGTCAGAAAGAAAGGATATTGATGGCAGAAAGAATGAAGGAAAACCTAGTGACCTCGGTAAATTTTGGTGGAACATTCGGACTGCAAATAACCTTCCAGGACAGATGGGACATGTTGTTCAAGCTGAGAAAACTTAGTGGCAATTGATTATTTCTTCTTGCTTGTGATTCCCCTCAATCACATGTAATAAATCTAGGTATGCATGGTTTTCTATGCAATAATAGATCGATATTCCATATTTTGAGTGGGATGAATGTTTGTATCCTCCTTTGATTTTAGTCAATTATACTGCTTTTTGGTATCTTTTAGTTCTATTATGCCACAACCGGCCTGTATGGCTGTATTGTGTAAGGTTTTGAATTGTAACCATATCATGCGGCTGCAATATTGCACCACAATTGCAACCATGTCTGCAACTGCTATTTACAAGCCCGGTATGGTTAAAAACCACTCCCCATTAAATCCCGACTAGCAAGGGTGGGGTGAGGGCAATCCTTGTATGCAGTTTTACCCTTACATAATTGCAAAGAGAGTGTTTCCCAAATTGGAACCCATGACCTTCACAAAGGAACACCTTTTAATCACAACCTCAGTATGGTTATCTCCACATTCTTCTTTTTCCCTTTGATCTCTTCCCATTGTTTCTTTACCATAGGAAAGAAGTCACCTGTCAATACCCTGTGTTGCCATCCTCGCGTTGCTGCCATTTTCTGAATGGAAATAACCGCGACAATTACAGGGTGGTTCTGATGCAGTTGCAGACGCTACTGCAACTGTAATATTGTGGCCGTATCAAGTGATGCAGTCCCCAATTTGAAACCATGTATACCAATAGTATTTTAGATAATGCGTGGCTTCACTGTTTTGCAAATAAGAATGGAAACACTGTTTTTTTCCATGAATTTGTTGAGAGTATTACATTTAGACAATAAGAGATTCATGGAAACCAGGATTTTCCATTTGGGAATTGCAATGTAGTGTGAGTCCTTCTACTTCTATTTTCTTCATTGAATAAGTTTCATAGGGTTTTACATCTTGGCAAGTTCACTATATTATTCTAGTGGACAAAATCTGCATGTAAGTGTGAGGCTGACCAGAGAGGAGTACAAGGTGCATCGGAAGAAATTCAAAATCGAATGGTAAAGTTCAACTCATTAGTGTAAAGCATAGTTGTCAATAGCAGTTAGCGGCTGACCCCGAAAATGGTATAGTTCAACTCATTAGTGTAAACTGTAAAGTTAACTTGTAGTATATAATACATTTTATTACTTATGTTGGAAGACTAAGAAGGTGATGAATACTGAATTGTAGTTTTCAAAAACTTTGAAGGAGACTGCTGAAAAAATCTTGTTTGCATGCAGTGAAAATCTGAATTTGAATTGGCAGAAGTTTAGTGCTTTGGGTAGTTGAAATTGTTGCAAATCATATTGGATATATGCAAAATGCCTTAAATATAATGAGGAATATGACAGATTCATGTGTATACATATAATTGCAATTCATGACAGCAGATTGCCTGTGTTTTTTAATTAAAAATATTTCTAAATTGATCCATGCAGCCGACTGATACATGTAGCTGAGTCAACTTAACAAGGTTTGTTTGTTGCTGTATTTGTATTTCTTAGTTGATTCAATAATCCCAGATTAAAAAAGAAAAAAAAATTAAGAGGGGGGTGGAGGGGGAAAGTATTTCAATTCCTTTCTGTTAATATATTTTGTTTGGGGCCTTATTTTGCAAATCTGTTGGCTCCTTCTTTGAGGGTTTCTCATCTTCAGATTCAATTAAATTCCATATTTAAAAAAATTCTTTCCTGCTTGACCAAAGCTCTTATTTCTTGTCAACCTCTCATAATGTTAACTCAAAAAGGGGCATTTTTCTTGCAGATATACTTCTAGTATCAGCCGAGTTTTGGTAATTTTACACTATAATTAATAAAAGCACCCCTCAACAAATAATTATCTGAATTCAGTCTACTTCGCTTGCGGTCATTTAGAGCGTGATTTGTTTACTTATGTGTTACAGTATTTAAGTTGTCACTCATCCTATATGGTATATATTGTTTGATAGCAAAGATTTATTGATGGACAAGCATAGTTCCCATCAATTACACGGTTCAATTTGACCATCTGCATATTTTTCGGTGGAAAAGTTACCAAGAAAGAGTTACACAGATAGTCTTTCAATTAAATGTTTCTCACTGAGTGAAGGGGTTTGCGGCTTTCTTCCACTTTCTGTTGTTACTGAGCAGTGAGCACATCATGTGATGAGTCATACCATTTTGTTGAATTTTATTGAGAGCATATTGTCTATGCCACTAGACTTGGGCCACGTCCTTTATAATATCAAATGCTAAAGCCAAATAATAGAAAGTTGATAAATGCTGCATTACACTTTGGTGCTGTGCTAGTTGTTAGTATGCAATTTTGTTAACTGATCTCTTTTGTCACCTAGCAAAGGTCTTGTTGCTTTTCTCAGAAGAAGAAAGAAAAGGGGGTTTGACTTCTTATGTAATTAAATAGAAATCCTATCACAGATCAGCTAAAACAAAAATTCTTTTCTGACTTGACAAGATTTTGTTCCATGCAATGTCTGGTAGACTGTTAAATGATATGTTGCAGGCCACAGGGCATTGATTCTCAGTTGCAATATCTGTGGACCGTTAAATTTAAATGGCTTTATAGTTACCACTGCATGCTGCATTTAGTTATTTATCCATAATTTCAATTTTAGATTGTAGGTAGGGGAAGACAGACCATTGTAAATGTATTGTAAAAATTATGGTTTGCATTAAAGCTTCAGAGTTTTAGGTGTTGATTGACTTAAAACCATATAATTTGTAAGTTTAATGCACTCTTTTTGTAAAAGTTTTACTTTGTGATTCAATGATGTATTGTCTATGTCATTCAGTGAATTCGACTACTCCCTTAAACTTATTAGATAATTAAGTAATTCACAATTTTGGATAATAGTATAATTTATTTTTTTTATATTGACAGTGCATACAAATTAAATTCATAACTAAAGTTGCTGTTTAATACTATTTAACTCTTCACTTGATTGTACTGCTTGCTTAAGTTTAAGAGCTGCTGCACGTTCAATATAATGAGCAAGAGGCACATGAAATGCTATTGACTTATATAAAAAAAATTATTTTTTTGTTCGTGGGATAATATGTCTTGCTAAATTATATGCTCCGGAACTCTATGGAAGTGAGCTTTGAACTTAGTACTCTGCACCCTTGATTTCCAAGAGTTGATAATTTTATGGTCCGTCTTGTTTAGAGTTGAGGGATTTTGCTTGGCTGTATAGCAACTAGTTTCAGTGGGATTGGAGAATTAAACTTGATTGTGTATGTACATGTCAGTATAAGGATCAAAGATCAAGATCTTTCTCAAGGAACAGTTGATTTGGTTTCAGTCATGTAAAAGGATGGTATTTTTTAAACTCTGAATTGAACTTGTTTCTTTTTACACTGGAGGATGGTTCTTACCGATTGCAGATGAATATCATTAAAAAATTAAAGTCCCAGCAGTGCTATTCGTAATGGCTGCTTTCTTTTTTCTATCAAAGGCTAAAATCATTCATATATGGTGGACAATAATCAAGTTAGATGTCTATTATATATATGTTCTTCACAATAATTTGTAATATCAGTTACCTTCGCTTTCATATGTACTTAGTGACTTAGTGTACAAACGAAAAGAAAGCGCGTTGTGATCCTATATGAAGCCTATAGGTAATACTTGTAGATTGTGTATAACTTCAATAAATAAATATATAACGCATCACGTGACACTGAAGGGGAACTATTTTTAGTGTGCTATGTCTGGAAAATCAACCTCTCCTAGTGGGGCATTTACCATTAGCAATAACTTCAGTAATGTGTTTTGTATCTTTGTCTTCATGAGGGGGAAATGGAGACAAACTACTCTGTTCAACAAGAAGTTAACTGGGTGAACATTATCTAGTTTCAATAGGGATAACTATGACCACTTCTTTTATTGAGTTTTGAAAGTTTTGGCATAACACGTTTGTTATAACTGCTAGTGAATCACTTGTTTGCAAATTGCATGCATGTGCTGCACGGAAAAATATGCAGGCTGCATATTGAAGATATGCCCAAAAACAAGGAAATTTTGAAGTGAATTTGTTTTCAAAGTAAGAAAGTAAAAGTATATTAATTGTTAATTTAATTTAAAGTAAATTGTGAGTTTAACATACTAAAATTTAAAAGTAAATATATTTTTATCCACTTAAAGACAAAGGTGGTGACTTTAAAATACCCTTATCAATGTTTTAGAATCGCTAATCAAGGCTATGGGTTCCAAAATTCATGAAAACAATGCTATAGAGATTAATTGGTTGCCTTAAAAAATTACTAAATTCTGTATCTAGCTAGTTCTGTTTATATTCTGTTATCAACATGTGCTTGCATCTATGGAATGAGTCAAAATAGTAAATGAAAAAATTAATTTTCTGATTTAAAGCCTACTTGTATCATGATCAAAGTGGAATGACCTATTTATAAGCCCTTAGCAGGTAACTTTACTGCTTCTGCTTTTTGATAGTTATCCCAACTAACCACCGAGTTGACTTTTAGAATTGATTTGGCCTTATATGTAACCTGTGACTTTAATTAACTAATTTGGCATTGTGTAGATATGGCATAAATGCCTCACTTGAAAGTAGTAGGTGATGGGTCTTCCATCCACAAGAGAATAGGATACAGGTTTTAGGTATAGACGTACAGTTACCAATTTTGTATTGGAGTACCCTTTAGTTTCCTAATTCCTTCATATTGTTGATTATAATAATGGTTATATATAGTATTTGTGTTGTAGGTTGTATCATTTCTTGCATCCGCAAGATAATAGGATACAAGTTCTAGGTATAGTCATCAAAGTATGCATTGAATACACTTCTGTCTCCTAATTTTCCCATATTGTAGATTATGACAATACAGTATTTGTATTGTAGGCGGTATCATTTATTAATCCCTAAGTTTATAGATTTAGACAATTTGTATAGCATTTAAAGCAGGGGAAGGAAGAAGAGATTCTTACATGGTCCTAGTCAACCATGTGACGGTAGACCAAAGGGTCTACATTTGTTTTGCGTATACGGCTCATAATAAGTCAAATTTAGTTGGTGAATCAACTTGTTGTTTAGTTCATCAATGACTTGATGAATTAAAAGTTCTAGTTCATTTTTTAAAGAAGTCCAATTTGAACTTTGGTATATTTAGCTTATTAGCTTGTATGTGAATGAATATAAAGAGAGAATAATAATAGTAATACCAATAACATTTTAATTTAATTTTTTGTTTGATGGCGTTATTTTTAACTAAATAAAAAATTTGTTGAGTTATATAAACTTGAGTCTAACTTATTTATACTAAAAGATTAACCTAACATAGTTCTTCCATGAGCATGGGCAACTTTGTCTAGGACCATACTGATGTGCATAGCAGCAATGTCCTATATTATCCATGCATTATTATATGTGAATTGTATGTTGTTGCAATTCATCATTTTTGGAAATTTTTATCATTTTGAAATTTTAGATATTTCCTCAACAAGTTTCACCTCTCACCAGTCACCAGTGCTTCAGACTTTTTCCCTAGCCTCCCTTAACATCAATGCTGAAGAATGAAGATATTGCCACAAACCCTACGGGCCTCCTAACTTCAACAAGATAATCATGATTTGATTGTAAACAACTTGGTGTTATACAGATTTGCATGCACAAAGAACTCTTGTCAGTAGTTATTTTAAACCATGAAGTTTGTTGAGATCTTGATGCAACTTATCTTGAATTTTGAACAGAAGATGTGAAGAGAATAGTAAAATTGCAGTAAAATTGAAGCATAACCAGAACAAGAGTAACTATTTACAGTTCTACTAATGCTTTCCTATAAACTAGACAGAGAAGTTAATAATCATAACAACAACATTGCTTATCTGATTTAATACCCAAACTAGCTTGGCTCAGATGTAACCATACCTGCCTGAAAACTCTGATGATGATATCATGATACTCATTAGAATTCAAAGTAAGATAACATGCTAAGAGCTCTTCCATTTCTTCTGGCCGGCTGATCTGTTTCTCTATGATCATCTCAATCATTGAATCTCTGAAATCTTGTTGTGGATCCAAGGAACATTTCACCACAGCAAAGCTATCTAACCCTGCTGTTTCCTCCACAATTTCCTCTTCTTTCTTCATCTTTAGTTTTGCTTTCTTCTTGTCTTCAATGCCCTTTATTTTGCAGATTTCAACCTTGGAAGTCATCCTTGGAGAATATACTCTGACCCTGGTGCTGTGCTTTGGTTTCCTCCTTTGGACTCCTCTACTCACATGAAGTGATTGCCTATGCTTGTTAATCTTTGCTTTCAACTCCTGAGTTTGTTTCCAATTCTCAGAGCCCAATTTCTTTGAATCTACAGAAGAGGAAAACAAATGTGTTCTTGGTGTACAAATTGTCCTAGGGGATTCAAATTGCAGCACATCCTTTTCTAAGGATTTACTTGATGCAGATTCAGCTTCCTCTGATACTTTTTCTAATTTCAAGAGTTGCTCTTGCAAAATTCTTTGTGCTTTCCTCTCATATCTCCTCCTTAAGTACTCAAGTTCCTGTGCACTATTTTTTTCATTCAGCAATTTGCTATCTTCTCTCAGCCCAACATCTTTCTTCTTGAACTTCAAAGTGCCTTCTCTTGTTCCATGTCTTTTAGCATTATGTTTACCACTAGTGCAACTTGAGGATGGAATGACATGCTCAGCATCCAAATTGTACCCTACAGGTTTCAGAATATCTTCCCTTTTCTTATGCTCATTACCCTCTTCACCAAATGACAGTCTCCAGAAAGCATCATCATCCCCACCATAAAACCTGCCTCTATTCCCACAAGCATTGTGTGGTGAACTATCAGATGGAGAGTTCAGCTTTTCATTCTGCTTCAGTTTTTCAGGTTTTGCCTCTGAGTTGATTCTCATCTGCTTGAACTTGGATAGCCATGAAAAAGGAGATACATGAGAGATTAAAGAAGGCCTAGAAGAAGAAGGTTTTCTTCCACCCAACTTCATCATTGGCTGTTAGCAAGATGATTCTCTTGTTTTTCTTTTTGTATAAGACTTCTTGATTTGGTTAAGGTTTATTAATCTTAAGAGAAGAGAAAGAAAAGAACTGAAGTGGGAGGTAACAATGTGAGAGGTTTCTAGCAGTTAGTGGGACGGTTAGGATGTTAAATAGGAACGTGGGTTTCTTACTGTTTTTTTCTGCTATGTTTTCAAAAGAGATACCCGCCCCAATTCCTGTGACCACTTTAGCCACTTTTCCTGCTTTTTAGTTTGTACTAGAAAAAAAAAGACTTGGGGACCTCTTTGTTAGGCCTAAAGAGTAATAGAAGCGGTTAAAAATTGGCAATTTGTAAATCAGAAATTAGCTTGTGTATATGTGAGAGAGAGAGAACAACGTTTTAGATTTAAATGAGTAAATGATCATGAACCGGGTAGGTTCAATGAGCTTTATTTGAAGGACACTAAGAAAAAAACAAGGTTGTCTGTAACTTTATTGTACATGTCATTTTCATAAACAGCTACTTCCTACATAGCAATGGCTTTGACCTTGAGCTGAAGGTTGTTGAGAACGAAGCTTGATTAGGAGGCTAATATTGCAGTAAATTTGAATATTAACTTAGTTTTCACAAGAAATCCATGTAAAAGGGGCAAGAATAAAGAAAGAGTTTCTTTTTGGATTTTGTGATGGACTGCCAGCAAAATCCTTTGTTTCATCTTTTGCTTTTCCTGGCTTTATTTCTTTGCAGTTTCCTTAATCTACCAAAATGTATGTGACCAACTAAGAAACCTTCAAATTTCTTTCATATGTATGCCCTGAAAAAGGGTTTGATATGCACTTTAAATTTAAAATCGTGTAATATGCTCTTAAAATTTTGTCTTGTGCAAAATGATATTAGTGACTCGTGTTTATCCAAAAGTTGAGGTCTCTCCAACAGTAATCCAGGATAATTTTGCTTGAGCGCTTTGTGGATTTTGTGCAAATTAGATTATATATAAACGGCAGCAGAAAAAATTTAGAGAAATATTATTCTTATGCAACATAAGATAATATCTCTTTCCTATGTATTCAATGATTTCCATGTAATTTAATTTTTATTTTTTTATTTTTTATAATTGAGTGGGCTCCACACATGATTGTTTCTAGGATAAGAGAGAACTACTATAATATCCCTAACCTAATTAAATAGTAAATTACAGGTTATTAAGTAAATTAAACATGCTTTAGTGAGTAAAATTAAGTATAAGGCTTAATTAAATGAATTTGAGTCACTTTGGAGGTAAAAATTGTACTCAGTGAAAATTAAGGGGTATAAATGGGTGTAGGCAAAAGTACCCAAAATATAAAAATGGAAATGGAAATATTCCTAGAAAAATATTCCAGACTTTTGGGTAAAGTTTGGTGATTATTGGAGTTAAATAGATAGACGAACTGATACCCACATGTTACCACTTAACTTATGTTAAGTGATAAGATGCAAAGAGAACCCACTTTCCCCCCAGAAACCCGTCGACAGAAAGGAGGAGAAGAGAAGAGAGGGAGAAGAGAGGAAGAAGGAGGGAAAGCCTAGAGATTGCTAATCTCAACCATTTTGAGTGATTCCAAAGCCTAAACCACTCCAAATCTCCTCCTCTTTCATAATCCTAGCTTTGTTTTGAGTGGGAAGCATTGTGGAGAGGGATATTGGCTCTCAAAAATTCGCCCATTTGGTGAAATTTGGGGTTTTGAGTGCTTCAACCTCCATTGAAGCTTGAGGAACCATCAATCCTTGGTTGTGTGACCATTGGTGGTAAGATGCTAACCCTTGAACCTCATGATTCCTTGAAATTGCATGAGTTAGGGTTAGTGAATAGTGTTTTAGGGTTTTTGGTGGAATGTTGTTAAGTTAGCTATGTTCTAGGAAGAATGGAACTTAGAGCATGTTGTGGAAAATGCTAGGAACTGCGTTTAATCGGTGAAAATGAGCTTAGATAGCTAAATGAGTATATTTGTAAAATGGAAAGAATATGATGCTTGATATTGGATTTCTTGCATTGTTAATAAATGGTTTGGTTTGGTTGGTTGTTGATTATGCCTTGGTGTCTAGGATTGAGGCATTTGGACCAACCGTGAGTGATCAACCATTGGAGCAAACTATGGAGCTTGACTATCTCCTTGGAATAGGTAAGCTCTTGCTAAGTTGGGATGTAAAGTTGTTGTGGTATTGATGAGTATGTATGAATATTCATTGTATAGTATGATTGATGCTATGGCACCTTGGTGTAGGTGTGTTACTTGTAAGTCATTGTTGAAACCAAAGTTGATTGGTTGCTGAACCGTTGGTGGTTAACAAAGGTTGAACAGAAGCTTTGAGGTAAGCCTTCGGACCTTGGGTGTAATTCCCTTGATTGTTCCACCAAGCCCTGAAAGGGTAGTGGTGATTATAGTGTATATAAATGCAATAAAATAGTGTAATGCGTTGTTATACGTATGTGTATGCATTTGGTGTGGCATAGGATGGTGTTTCCCTATGTTGGTATGTGGCATGACGATGCATAAATCATACTTGGTAGTTAGCTGGCCAGTAGGACTATTTGCATCTGAGTTTCCTTAGGACAGCTTGAGAACTCGAGGGATTTCTCCTGGAGATGTATTGCACTTTGCATAGATATGTATTTACTACATTATTATTGTTATTGCTATTACACTGATATGGAATTGTGGGGTGGAGAGATGCTCCAAGGACCCCTGGTTTACTGGATATATTCGTATATCTCACCCCGTGTTGTGGGGACCCCCTTTCAGGTAAGGATGCTGCAGGAGCCTCTGGTGGCAAATGGCCATATTTGGATTAGCATATGCATGAGGATCCTATATTTTGATATTATACATATTGTTTTGTAGCTCACATGTATAGGATTGTAATTCATAGACCATTGATAGATGTATGATTTGTATATTGGAATGGACTTAGCCTATGCTCATGTCTTTGGTCATCTCTTTTGTTGATGGGAGCCAAGGGAATGATCATAGTGTTTTGTAAGCTAAGTTTCATGAATTGTAATGAACATGATTTGTAATTGATGAGTACTTTAAGTTTAATATATGTATGTTCATTAAGTATTGGATTGTTGAACTGGAAACTAAATTAGGTACCTAGTGCTAAATTGGGAAATGTTGAGAAAACAAATACATCATGTCCGTTTGACCAATTTTCACACCTAATGTGATGGAATTGGACTTTGATGTCTCTATGGAAGTTGTAGACATTTCTTTAGCTTTCCATAGAGACCAAAATGGTGTAATTTGAGTGAATATAGCTCAAGTTATGAGTGGAAAACCATAGGTAGGTTAAATGACCTTGTTTTGGGTCACCCAGCCCTGTGGATGGCGCCTGGGGCGCCAGGTTCACGCTTGGGGCGCCAGGTTCACGCTTGGGGCGCCAAATTACGAGATCAGGCAGTAGCATTCACGCTTGGGGCGCCAATTCCACGCTTGGGGCTCCAATTCCACGCTTGGGGCGCCAACTTTCTGTTTTCCCACGCTCTGGGCGTGGATCTCACGCTTCGGGCGCGGGGGTTCTGGAGGTTTCGCACCCTTTTCTTAGAAAATGCATAACTTTGGCTACGGTGCTCCGATTTGAGCGCGGTTTGAACCCACGCGTAGCTAATGAAAAATACTATAACATAGTAGAAGATGGGAATCATAAAAGGAGTTTAGAATTAATTTGATAATTAAAGTGATGAAGACATTTAACGACGTATTGTCAAGTAGAATGAGAATATAATATTAAGTTTAGTCCCACTATTCCGCGAAGTATATATAGTTATGATCACGCACTTGGTTATTTGAATCTGGCTCATTTAAAAAGGAAAAATTTATCCGGTTTTCTAATTGAACCAATGTGATTGTAACTGCGCTTAATGTCGTACGCAATGATAACAATCCGGTTCTAGAACGGGGTGTTACAACTACTCTCCTACCACATGAGATTAATAAAGTCCAAAAATTTAATGTGATTATGAGAAGGAAACTTAACACAATCTCTACCATTTCAGTATAATGGTACCTTGTAATAGCAATGTTATTTTATATCGTGAGATTATGCTTGTCTCCTCCAAATTATGTTGTATGGGCTCATGAGGTCCAACCCGAGAAATAAGGCTCTTCAACAGGGAAACCTTCATTTTATAAACAGGACCAAAAAAATAGGGTAGATAAATATTCGGCTAATTATGAAATTCTAAATTGGTTTTGTGTTGTAATTTTGTCAGGTTTTTTGTGCTAATTTCTTCAACAAAAGAGGTCATCAAATTGATTCTTTCATGGCCTATTTTAAAAGGTGACCTTATTACAAACAAAAAAAAAAAAGTGACCCAAACCAACAGCTAAGTACAAAATAGAATTTTGGGCCCATAATCTTTTTGGAAGCTATTTTCTTTTCACCCACAGACCATAAATCCTGTAACTGACAGAATCACTCTCTCTTTTTATTTTTTATTTATTTTTTTCACTTCGACATGATCAAGGTATTTCTTACGAACTTGCATTAAAAGAGAATCTTTCATTCATTTCCATTTATATAAAATGAACGTATGCAATGAAACTGAGGAAAAGGGGTATTCTTTTGACATAAGTGTCAAATTTGAAGTTTGACACCTCATTTAAGAGCCATTAGATAAAAAAAAAAATCAATAGTGTCACATACTTATAAATCAGAGTCATTAATTTTTTTTTTATTCAATGGCTCTCAAACGAGGTGTTAAATTTTAAATTTGACTTTAATGTCAAATGATATTACCTCATTGCAAATATATATGAGATTTATACTTCTATTATCATTAGTATAATCTCCTATAATAGACTCATTAAATTGTGTGTTTTAATTTTTTTATTTTAAAAAATATGGATCCCACTGATGAATGTCTCTACTGTAAAATCTCAACTTCTGCTGTTACTGTAGAGGTATAAAACCCAATATTATATATATATATAGGGGAAGGATCCGTTTACAAACATTTTTTGAAATTTTTTACAAATTATACTATGTTCTCCCAGGGAGAAGATAGTGTATTTTGTAAGAGTTTGGAAACAAAAAAGTTTGTATATATAACATGCCTCATATATATATATATATGAATAAATTTGCAAATTCTTTTTCTTGTTTAAGTGAATTTCTCAATAATTGGTGACTAAAATGTTTCAACCAATCACTTGAATAGTTCTTGAAGAAAGGGAGCTTCTCTTTGCACTCTCTTCCCAATTATATGAATTTAAACATGGCAAAGGGGTCCATTTTCACTTCCCCTCAAAGATATGATTGAAGGAGACAGCTTTCCTAACTAGATGACACTCATCCTATTACTTTTGCAAAAGTTTGCTTATGAAACCACTATTTTTTTTAAGCTGAGGTCCTTGTTCATCAAGTTAACTTATTTGTGATAATAAACACTGGAGTATGAAACATATGGATCATTCCTTAATTATAATTATGCTGCCTTATTAAATTTTTGTTCCCTTGAGCATCTAACTAACTAAAAACAGATCATTGGTCACAGAACTTGATCTTTGAAAGAGAAGCTCCAAACTAGAGGTTCTTTAGCATAGCTAAAATTAATCTTTTACTGCTGATAAAGGGATCTATCCAATTTTAGCCTAATCGGAAACTTTTTTCAAAAGTACTTCTTGCTTGATTGTGAAAGTGCTTTTGCATTTAAAAGCAAATTATCAAGTGTTTGACATACGGTATACGCCAAGGGAAAGATGGAGAAGATAATTAGGGCAGAGGAAACACGGACCTCATTCTTAAGTGGTCAGAATTTCTGGTTTTCATGTTCTATCCCTTCTATTTATCCACTTTAAGCGATCAGTGGCTTATAAAGACCACCTAAAATATCATCTTAACATATGAATTATGTACCACAGATGGAGTTGCTTGTAATATATTTCCAACTGCTTATGGCAGCATTCACTTTGGTCTTGAAGATGGTTAAGATCATTAGAAACGTTATGCTACATGTATTGCTTAGTCACTAGACAATTAACTGCAAAGTAAAATTTTGAATTACCAAGTATTACTATTTTTAGCAAGAATTACCAAGTAAATAATATCGTAAACTGAATTTTCGAAACCGGTATTTTTCAGGATTTCAAGAAAACTGAATTTTTATAAATTTTTAATTTTTGGATATTATCGTAAACTGAATGCTTTTATCATATTTCTGAAAATCGAGATTTTCGGACAAAAAAAAAAACTTATCCTCTACTAAACGCCACCTAAAAGTTAAGACTTGTCATTTTCGTACCCGTATGAGTGGGAATATGCAACATAATAAGAAGGTTTATTTTGGTGGATCCGATACACATGGTCCCATTCCATAAATGGTAAAAAACAAGGAAGTGGAAGGGAATTTTTTTAAAAGTGAAGAATTGAGAGGGAAACACAATTTTCCAAAATTAGAAAAGGGATCACGTAAAAAACATGATCCCGGATCACTTTATAAAATTCCCATAATAAGATGTTCCTTCAAAATTAAACAGTTAGATTATGATGCTCCTCCACGTTTTGAGCAACAAAGATAAAGAATCATTAGCAAAGACATAATAGAAAATAAAATAATAACAAATCCTATAATTTCCATATTTTTTGTGGATTAGCAAATTTTACCAACACTTTCTTTTCAACGCATTTTCAATTATTTGGTGAAATATCATACTGGTCCCACTAGTAGAGAGTAGGTCCAGGTTATTTAGTGGAGCTAGATATTTCCCAAATAGAGTATGTATTAAGGGAGGATTTAATCTCATGTTGTAGAAGATACTCCTCTCATATCATAGACCTAACATGCCAACACATAGTGGGTCTCACCATGTGTTAAAAAATAAAAAATAAATAAATAAAAGACATGTTTATCGATATATCTACAACATAAAATAACTGTCTCTTATTATATCAGAGAATAATTTCCCATGTATTAAAGAAAAAGTAAAATATATTGTTAGTACCCTGCTCCTATAGACACTCAATCCTAACAAACCCTACCATTATGGGCTACTACGAAACAGGCCTTCAGAAACAGTTGTCTAACATATCAATCCAACAAAGTGCAACAAGTCCAAAAATTAAATAGATTGCCCACAACCTATTCTGCATCTTAAATAGGTTGACCATTAACTCATTTTATAAAATTCAAAAATTATAAATTAGTAGCAATCCACAATAGGAAATATTTTTAGTTCTCAACCTAGGCAATACTAGTTGAGGGATTCATAAAAAAAAAACATTTTGTTTTGAAAATGAACCCCGAATTGACAACTAATTTTATAGGTTTTTTTTTTTTACCTTTTTACCTTTCATTAATTAAAAAATAATTATTTTGTCCCTCCCCAAAACAAACTACTTAGACTGGACCAAACTATTCTTAGATCTGTAGAAGTGTGTGAGCACTCTCTCACCTGCAGAGATATGACATTACCTCAGCCTCATACAACTAATAAGTAAAGACCTTTAGATAGAACCCCCAAGGGTAGCTCAGTTGGCAGCTGAGCTCCCAAGGGATTGCTTGATGCAGGGATCAAACTCTGTCTCAAGCAGTTTCTTGAAAAATCTTTGGGGGCCAGAAGATAAGTCAAAAATCTTTGGTTGGGGGATTAGTCTCGTCCTTTCTTCGGTTGCGAAGCTTAGTGCACCCACTGTTACAATGAGGGACTAGCTCAAACGGGCCGTACCCCGAGGGCATGGATAACTTATCTGCAGTAACTGCAGAAAAAACGAACCATTTCAATAAACTCTAACCCTAAGCTAAATGAACCCTATGTTTCTTAGACTTTTTCTACACACTAGATCCTATTAGACTTTAGTAAAAGAGCAAAACCCAACAATTAAAACACTCGCCCTCGACTTCTCTCCACCGAGTCTTTTATCACTTTTGCTCTCAAAAATCTTGGGAAACCTTAATTTTACACTTGACGGCTGCTGAATCTCATATCTCTTATAATTTTTTTATTTATTTTTTTGGTGAGGAATATCTCTTATAATTTATAGAGCCAGCTACTTAACCATAGTTAATATTTAGGATCAATAATAGTTAAGTCCATCCGCCACAATGGAACTGTCCACAAATTGTGATTTCTTGTAATACAGCACCAAAAGGTTGATAGAGTGGATTTCATATCATTTAATTAGGCACTCGTCAATACGAGGTATGTGTATCAAACCACATCCATCATCTTGACTATTTATCCCATTATAAAAAGTATGTTTATGTAAGTGTTGAGCAAACATAAGTATATATATATATATATATATTTTTTTGATAACAACATAAGTATATATTAAACTCTATATTATCTTGCATACATAACTCATTAATTTACTCTTTTCAATTTGTGGACCCTATAAATTTATTAGCAGTCGATTAAGATAACAAAATCAACAATAGAAAATTAAAAATTTAAATTTTTTTTCAAAGAGTTGTTAGAATTGATTTTTCTTAGAAATTAACTTTGAGATATTTTCTTTCGATTGTGAAGTTACATTATCTATGTTTATATAAACTCTTTCAAATATTGAGAATTTTTTACATCGAAATTGAAGAGAGAAAATGTGATGTGTATAGAGGAGAGAGAAAAAAAAAATTAAGCCATGTGTCATATTTTTAGTGGAAGGAGCATGTGCTCCTGGAATACTATAAGTTCTCTCATTAAGTATTAAGTTAGGAGGAACCTAAGGTAAAGAGGTATTATTTTATAGGCTTAGTTATGAACTATGCTTATGATTTTGCCACTATCTTAACCCAAAAACTTACGATTAGGCACATGAATATTTTCATTTATGTGAATTTTTATTTAGTAAATCATTATTAATTTAGAACTTTTATACACACTTAGATTCCAAACACTTTCTCCTAAAGTGTGAGTCCTTGCATATTTGAACTCTCCAGATTCAGAAAAACACTCTGCGCACACATGTTGTGATCCATTTCTTGCTATTGTATATGGACCTATAATATTGTGTCCTTTAAAATAAAAAATCAATCTCCATGTTCTGCGCTGAAAAACAACCGCAGCGCAGAAAAACACTTTTTTTCTTTCCAATATACTTTATATCTCTTTCCAATAATTAAGTAAAAAATATTTTCTTGGATCTGGATCCTCTAATGTGAAAATTCACATGACCATGTAATGTGGGGAATCATAACCATACAAAAGTGGATTGGTAAAAAAAGAGGAGAGAAAAAAAATGATAAAATAGGTAGTTACGAAATCATAACCGTTGATTTACCTTTGTATGGTTGTGATCTTCCCACATGACCATATCATGTTTTTTTGGCACATTAGAGGATCCATTTCCTTTCATATTGAAGGAAATAAGCAATCTCCAACGATGTCATTTTGGTGGTCGGAGAATTTTTTTTACAATTTTATTTTATTTTGGATTATTTATAAAAAAAAATTCAAAAATCCTAAAATAACGTTCTTTTGCGGTAAAAAAGATAAATTATTTTATGAAGAAACATTAAACCTATACAATATCTGATCTCAACCCACTTCTCTAAAAAAGAAAGTTATTGTCCAAAAAATAGTTAGTATTTTGGACAAGCAAAATTATAAAAGCCCAACGAATCAAATTGTTTTCAGCAGCAAATAACCATGGCGAATTAATATATATTTTCAGAAAGAAAAAAGAAAAATATGATGCGGAACATTTTCTTTTATAAATTTGGTCACAAGACATAAACACAAATAATCACAAAGTTACCAAATTAAAATGAAAGAAGAATGATAGTAAAAAGAAACCCAGCACGGAGCATACACACAAAAGCCAGAAGCCCAAACACGACGATCACTCACAAAACCTCAAAGAAGCACAACAAAAATTACTTGAACCCTCTATTCAACATCCACCTCATATCATTGCTCCACTCACCAAACCCACTCCAATAAGAACAACATTAACCAACATCATGGAACCTTCAGAAATATCCACCGGCAAAGCCTTGCCGCCACTATCACTGTCATCACCGCCGGTACTACTATCATCTGCTGACGATGAATTCGTTTTACCAGACTTAGGTAAACCTCCCTTGGCGAGGGCCGGCGCCGGCGCCGGAGCTTTGCTGGGAAGCACGAGGTCAAGAGGGAGAAGCACCTTGTCAACCTGATAAATGGCGAGCTTGTTGTCCGCGTACACGGTGCCTGTGAGGGTGGCGTTGACGGCGCCGGTTGCCATGTTGACTTGGCTGCCACCGTAAGTGGTGACGTTGAGTTGCAGCCTTTGAGCGTCGTCACCGGCTTGTGTTTGAACAGGGTTGGTGAGGGTATCAAAGTTTGAGATTGATATGAAGGAAGAAAGTGTGTGGAATTGCAATAGCTCCACCTTTTGTCTGTCACTGAGAGTGTTGAGGAACCCTGCTTTTAGTTTTGAGAATGCACTGTCTTCTGGTGCAAATAGGGTTAACCCTCCTGAACCTGAAGTCACGAGCTGTGAGTTGAGTTGGTTTATCAGTTGTGTGGTTTTCAGTAGCCGAATGAGAACGGAGAATCTCTTTGCTTTTCTGAGAATGTTGACAATGTCAAAAGTGGGACCTTTTGGGATAATGGGTGTGGGGGCGCCACTGGGTGTAACTGGTACCAGGGGAACAGTGTTGAGTCCTGGAGCTGGTGCTGTAGCCGGTGGCAAAGCCGCTACCGGTGATGGCGGTGATGGTTGAGGTAAAGGTGGTGCTGGAGGAGATGATGTTGGAGGTTGAATTGGTGCGAGTTGAGCTGAAGTGGTGGTGGAGTAGAAGGTAAGTGCTAATAGTAGAAGTAGAATGGAAATGAGAGATTCTTGCATCATCATTTTTAGGGTTGAAAGCTAGGAGTGGAGTGATGTGGGATTATGCCAAATGATAGTGTGGGACACTTTTTTGAGACCACTTCCTCTGCTTGGAGTTGCTGTGAGGGAAGAGGGGAGAAGGGGTTGCCTTTTATTTTGGAGGCTTGAAGAGAATGATTGGTTAGTTAGGTGCAATGTTTAGTTGGAAAGCGATGCATTTAGTTCTAACTTTGTAAGAGCAAATATCCTTTGCCTGTCATGGAAAGGTGGTGCATCATGGTATGATAGCAAAGATTTGGGAGTGATAGAAGAGTGAGAACATAAGGTACATTAAAATTTACATGCATGGAACTAATTGTTGCTTTCGCATCAATGTTACAATCAATCGGATGCATGTAATATGGAAATAAAGTTATGAAAGGGGACGATTCTTCTATATATAGGTTTAGTATAATTCCATCAATTATAGGAGGAAAATAAACCAAATAAATATAGAGAAATAATTATCTCATTTTACATGAGATAATTATCCCATGCATTAGATACAAATTGGATGTGGGACCTACTTTAAATTTTCTCTTTCTCCTTTATTTTATCTCCTCTCTCTTCTATATGTGTGTAGGAGATTGTTTTTCTCTTTTAAACGAGAAAAACAATCCCCATAAATATATTATCTCCCTAAGTGGCATTGTCTGAAAGATATTTTGGTAAGGATGGAGGGCCTCATCCTATACCTGAGACCTACCATACTTAATATTAGGTGTAACTACATCTCTCCATTGATCATATCATAAAAACTTAACTGAAATCGATTTCTTGCATGTGAATGTTCATCGGAATGGCAAGTTATCTTATATTCTAAAGTTAGAATATGTTACACGATACTCTTTTAAGAGATTTTTATAATTTATGTAAGGGTACTTTCATATTTAAGATTAATGTTTTCAATTCGTTTGGATGAAAAAAAAGTTTAAGCATGTTTTTTTTTTCTTCTTACCTCCAAACACCTGAATCAAATGATGGGTTGTTTTAGTTTAATCAATGATGGAGAAATCTAAAAAAAAAAAAAAATTATATTTTTCTCTTAACAATTTTAAGGTCGCATTGTAGCATAATGAGTTAGTGTGTTTTGTTTTAGTAGGTAATGAGTTAGTGTTTTTAATTAGGACATCTAATTCTCCCAAAACCTGGTATATTAATTGATTTAGGAAAATGTTTGTTCCATATCTACCTTAAATATTATACCGACCGTACCTACATTAATTAATGATAAACCATTTAATTATTAGGATTTAACTAATCTTAAACTCATCATTTAAGAAACTCATAACATAAATCTTTTTTCTAAACATGTAAGCCGTCCAACATTTAGATTACTAAACTGATATATTTTGATTAAAATTAAAGTCTCACTACTATTTACTATTAAAATTTATTTATGTGAAGGAAAGAGGAACTTAGTATTATTGTCAACTCGTCTATGCCTTTAAGTAACATGATACGATGGAATAGCATTGATTAAAAAAAAAAAATTGACCTTTATTCATATTTTTTTCATCAATAAGTTATCCATAAGTATTGTAATAAACATTTTTATAAAATTTATGATAATGTTTTAACTTTGAAATCACAGAATCTCTCTTCTCTTAATTTTTTTATATCATTCCTAATTTCTCTTCAACTCTTTAAATTAGTAATGAGACTAATCCCAAATTAGAATTTAATCACATTTAAAAAAATTTATCCCTCCCTAAAAATATATTTATTAGGAATCCAACTCACCTCTCAAATTTTTATTAATAAAAGAAAGTTGTCTATACCATCACAGTTCGGGTGCTCTCACACTATGTAAAACAATCATTTCATCTAAATGATTAAATGAAAGTGTTTTTTTAATAATTTCTATATTTCTTTTAACAGATCTCCTATCTCCTCACATCAGAGTCATCATGATTCTTATATTATATTTCTCTACCTACTATTTCCGAATCCTTACTTTCTCTGTTTATTTTTTTATTATACAAATAATTGCACCTTAAAAGAAAAAGAAAAAAATACACGTGACAATTTCGTCCCTGTTACAAAATTTTCTGCTCCGTGATTGATCAGTATATGCTTCCCTCTGTTCTCGTTCCCAATACCTATGCTACTCATAGGTGAGAGAGATTCTAACAGTGCATATAATTGGAAAAAAAAAAAAAAAAACTAAGCAAAACAATGAGATATTGACTTTCACAATAAAACAGGCTTTTTGACCCTTATGACCCTTAATTAATAACTAATTACCAAATTGTCCTTCATTCAAAACTATTTCGAAAATTTACCCTCCCCAACAAACATAACACCAATCTGCCCATGTTTGACCGTTGACCACGAAGCCTACCCGGGTACACCATTACCTACCTGGGTAATTTTTGAAACTTTTTATCTACCCGAGTATGTAGGGGTGTACCCGGGTAGAGTTCTTGAATCTGGAAAAATGGTTGAATTATTTACCCGGGTATGGAGCAGTGTACCCGGGTAAACATCGACGGTAGGGTTTTAAAATACCCCAGCAGCCCCATTTCGAAAACCCACAAAAGGGGTACCCGAGTAGAGCTGCTGGAGGAGTGTCTTCTTGAGCGATTTCAGGCATAATCTTGCACCAATTCGTCTTGTTTCTGATCATCATTCGCGGACCTTGCAACCTCTCTGCCTTCTACCGATTGAAATCGATCAAAGGTGCATTTTTTTTTTCAGTTTTTTCAATTATGTTATGATTTCTGTTCTGATTCATTGTATTTTCGTTTATATCATTTGATTCTGTCCGAATTATTTTATCAATTTGTATGTCATACGCTTACCCTAACCCTAACCCTGAATCTAACACTAACCCTAACCCTAACCCTAACATGTATCTAATTTCTGGTTTTGGTTATTTTTTCAGTTTAATAGTGTGACACAATGACCTCTCGACGCGTTTCAAAGCTGCCAGTGACCCATTCCGAGAGAAGAACCAAGAGTCGTCACGATGGGTCGTCATCCTCTCAGCCTCAGGCTGCTTCGAGTCAGGCTCCGGACTTGACGTTCGGATATTTGTTTGAGGATGACATACCTTCACACGAGAAGTTCGTGAAGTTTTTCATGACCCGGAAGATCTGCGAACCGAAATCACTGGATTCGACATTCTTCAACCTAGAGCCTTTTGACATTGTGCCGCTTCTTGAGCAGACACATTTACTTCACCTGGCGGAGATGCGGTGCCCATACTCGGAGGTTATGGTAAAGCCTTCTACCAGAACCTTGGCTACTCGCAAGGCGAGCTGACTTCCCGTGTCTGCGGGATTGATATCATCATGACTGCTCCTATCTGGACGGAGCTACTGGGGTTCGATTTTGATGGTGTCACAGGAGCAGCACTATATGATGGAGACAGCCATCATATATTTGGTGATTATAACCGGGAGACCATTGTTACAGAGACTAGGAGGGCAGACGCTGAGCCCGGTCATTTTGCTCTTATCCTGTTAGCAACTTGTCAGTTTCTGCTCGCATTCTTCTTTATGTGGTGACACATATTATTTTCCAGCGCCCGCATAATCACTCAAAGGTGCTGGAAGGGGACTTTGTCATCCTGTGGGCCCTCCTTCACAGTCAGCAGGTGAACTGGAGGCATTACATATGCATACTGATGTGGAAGGCAGCCAAGTCAAAGAAGGCTGAATTGCCTTTTGCATTTCTGGTGCAGAAGATTCTGCATAGATTTGGAGTGCCTATGGCAACAGAGACCTTGAAGACCGCCAGAGGCTGGAATGCTATATTTGGTGAGAGGCTCCTGAAGCAGTGTCGGATCCTACCGAACAGATAACGGATCTCCTAACTTCCAACCTCCGTGCAAGTCATCATCGCCATATAGGATCTCCAACTCGTCATTAGGGTGCGCCCAGTTAATGAATGAATAATGTTGGCTTTCATTCCAGAATGGCTCCTCAGACCCTGCATCTAAAGATCAACTCTCATTTGTCTGAATGAATACCACCACAAATAATAAATTGTCTAAAGCAAATGTTCAAATTTAATAACTTACCACTACTGACTGGGTCGACATGAAGTGGTGACAAGGCTGGGGTACCGAGACTTATGGCGCTCATGTCAGCCTCAGAATTACCGTCCACGTCAGTGTCTGACGAATCACCTTCTGGAATAGCACTTTCAGGTTCTCCCTCATCTTCGCTGTCCACATAGTCCTCGTCTTCATCCTCTTCATCCTCATCCAATGCTACCTGAGGAGGTGCAGAAGATCGTACAACTGTATCTTCTTGACCGGTACAGTGTGCAGTAGTGGTTGTATGCACCGGTAAAGATGAAGATTGTCCAACATCAACTTCAACATATATCTCAATATATTTTAATACTTTCCATTCAACAAACGCATCTGTTACGAACTCCACATCTTCATCATCATTTATATCGTTTCCAATGTAGTATATTGTATCCATATCCACTACAGTCTCTAACCTGGCTATCATGCGGTGGATGGAATGTATGCCTTCTGACCCCATTTTTTGAAGAATTCTCTCCTTCAGTTCATTGCATGTAGTGCCCACTTTGATTTTCATCGTTTTTGTTTTTCCTTCAAATCGGACACCGTTCGGACCTTCAAAATGCCTCCCATTGTAGTAAATAACTATAGGAACCATGTTTAGACTTGAACTCATCTTTCACACAAAAATTAGATCTAGGTTTTGGGTTTGGAGGTTGGTTCGGATTTTTGAGCACAAAATGGGAGTGTGGAGATGTAATCTCAATGTCCCACCAAGATTCAGCTTTCTGAAATGATGAGATGAAATATGTGTGATGTTTCGGATTAGAGAGGGTAAGAGAGAGAGAGATTTGGGGTTTCAAAAACCCTATACCTCGCAACAATGGCCGAAACCCATACATATTGGGGTTTCTGGACGCGATTTACCCGGGTACACTGATCCATACCCGGGTAAATAATTCAACCTTTTTCCCAGATTCAAGAACTCTACCCGGGTACACTCCTACATACTCGGGTAGATAAAAAAATTTCAAAAATTACCCGGGTAGGTAATGGTGTACCCGGGTAGGCTTCGTAGTCAACGGTCAAACAGGGGCAGATTGGTGTTATGTTTGTTGGGGAGGGTAAATTTTCGAAATAGTTTTGAATGAAGGACAATTTGGTAATTAATTATTAATTAAGGGTCATAAGGGTCAAAAAGCCCAATAAAACAATCATATATATTTTTATTTAATGACAAAACAAGAATTGAAAGGAAGTTGTTCGCATAGCTCTCAAACATTTCTTTTCCTACGCAGTACACAAGTCAAGAAGAAAACAACATAAACAGAAGTCCTCAGCAATAACATGCTTGTTCTGAAAATCTTGGAACAGTTTGCAAATGGATTTTCATCAACATGACATCGTTGTTGCTGCTGCAACAAGAGCAACTCCAAGTGACACCAATGTTGTTCCATGAATGCTAACTAAACTGATGGCCCCAGATTTGTCCTTTGTTGTCTGAGTCTGATCATCATCTTCTGCAGACGAGTTCTCCTTATCAGCTTTAGGTGCCTTAGCAAGAGCCGGTGCAGGAGCTATAGGCTTAGGCTTAGAGAAATCCAAAGGAATAAGCACCTTGTCCACATGATATATGGCAAGTGTCTTATCCGTGTACACAATGCCTGTGATGGTGGCATTGACCACCCCAGTTGAAATATTCACACTGTTGCCATATGCTGTCACATTCATCTGAAACCCTGTGGGGCTGTCACTGGCCAGTGACAGCACTGGGTTGCTGAGAGAATCAAAGTTTGAGCTCGAGACATAAACGGGAAGAACATGGTACTGTATCAGTTCTTTTTGTTGCCTCTCTCCCAGGGAGTTGAAGAACCCTGCTTTGAGTTGTGAGAAGGCACCATCATCTGGTGCAAGAATGGTTAAGCCTCCAGTTTTTGTTGTTACAAGCTGTGCATTGACTTGGTTGATGATTTGGGTGGTTTTCAGCAAGCGGATTAGTGTGCTGAATGATTTGGCCTTCCTTAGAATCTTGATGATGTCTTGATTGCCAGAAGAATCAGGACCTGCCAAGGGTGATTGGGGTAATGCCGGGACTAATGGTTTTGCTGGTGCTGGAGCAGGTGTGGCTGGGGCAGGTTTTGCTGGGGCTGGTTTTGATGGGGCTTTAGGGGCTGCAGCTGGTGACTGAGCTAAAGTGGTGGTTAAAAAGATGGAGGCTAGTAATAGGAGTGAGAAGAAGAGAGTTTGCTTCATCTTCTTGTTGGTAATTGAAGGCTCTGGATTGCTTTGCAGCTCTTGAAAAAAGAAATCACTAATGAATGGGTAGTTTTTATTACAAAGTGTAATTGATGTGTGGAATGTGTAATGGGGCAAGGTGCTTTTATAGATGCTAATTGATGACAGGTAGGTATAAGGTTTAGTTGTATTTTGTGAGGGGATATCTTATCTGTTAGGAAGATTAAGGTGGTGTATCAAGGCAGATAAAGTTGATTGAGATGTGGATTTGGCTGCTGAATGGGAATGGCATTTCCTTAATTTTGCTTGGGAATGCAGGGAGAATTGAATGAGAAGTGAGAACTTAATTGGTTGTGAGCTGATAAAAGATGCACATTAATGCAGAAAAGAAAGCACCTCTGTTATATCATTCAGGTAAGACAGATGTGAAATCAAATCAGTCACAGTTAAGGAAGCTGTAGTAACTGCTTCTTAAAGCCATTTTTATCATTTGCTTCTTTGAGTTAGAGATAAGATCTGTTTACAATTTTTTTTTCAAATTATACTAAGTACGACCGGTCGTACACTGCATGATTAAAGTATGACCGGTCGTATTTAGTGTAATTTGTAAGAGTTTGTAAACAAAAAAGTTTGTAAATATAACTTGTCCCCGTAAGTTATACAAACTAAAAAATGCCTCCTCTGCCACCTGTCGAATAATTAAACTTGCATAACAGAAGTAAATTTTTTGTTGCAGTCTTGTAGATAAACAAACCAGTTCGAAGCCAGGTTATTTTAACATTTTATATTTTATTCTGGCTTGTTGAGTTTCTTCCTTCGTGACAATTCAACACTTTGGTGTCTGTGCTATCAAGGGCACATAAACACATAAAGGAATTATTTTGCTTTCCACTATTTACCATTTTCAGTCCTGTTTTCACTTTATTAATTTCTTTCGCTTTGTGGTCTTCATACAAACAAGTTGTGAATTTTCCTTAGAAAGACTCACAAGGAAAAAATTCACTGCAGTGTTCATTTGGTTGTACAATACCTCTAGATACCCAGATATCAAAAATATTTTACAACCCTTATGTTCATTTTCAAATGGGATTTCTACTCTATCCAAGTTGATTCCAGCCCAAAGATCATCTAGGATGACAAGGATCCTATGCTCTTTCTTTATCCTATCACACAGACTTTTAGCTCTACCAACCACAATCTCCTCACCAAATTGCAAACCTAACATGTTCCAAAGCTCTCCTTGAATTAGCTCCAAGCCTGGTTTTTCTGTGACACTTGCCATCACAATTATATCAAAAAAGTTATCTCTTTACTCTTCTTGAGATTTTCTTAATTAAATTGGTTTTGCGCAAAGTGCTTAATCCATACACGCCAACAATGTTAATGTTTGGATTTGCTAAAGGTTCCATGGTAGTTTCCAGAGCCGAGTTTATCAATCCTGGGACCTCATAACCATTGGAAATTATTGCTTGCTTTTTATGTATGAAACAAGCAAGGGGTACAATCCTCTACTTGGGATAATGCTTGTCACTTTAGCTGAAAAAGAGATGACATAGATGCTGCCCAACTGGGTGGTGTTTCTTAATTTTTCTAGCAATTGCATGAGCAGCTCCCATCTTCCTCTCCAAAATTCCTTTAAATAATGATACATGCTTCTCTTGTTTGGTGTGCACACAGTGAAAGACCAACTATCCCAAAAAAGTGAAGGTTAGAATGGAACATACTTACATAGAAGAGCTTGAGGAATGACAAGCTTAAACCAACAGTAGAAACACAGAGAAAGAAGAAGCTGAAAAATCCCAATGGACAAAAGGAAAGAAGAGTATATACAAGTTAGAGGGCTATGAATGTTGATAGAGACAAAAATAATTGTTAATTATTGTCACAAAGTTCATATGGTATGAATGTTACAGCAGCGTGAGAAGACTTGCTAAGTTGCTAGGGAAGCACCAAATCTAAGGAAAGGAACATAAATTACAAATACAAAATGGAGACGTGTAGCGTACCAAAGTGTGTACAAGGTAACGTGCACTTACCATTCATCCCTATTTTTCCAAAACACTGATAGCAGGTTATATTTACAAACTTTTTTGTTTACAAACTCTTACAAAATTACAATATGTAGGACCGGTCCTACATTAATCTCACAGTGTACAACCAGTCTTACATTAGTGTAATTGTAAAAAAAGTTTGTAAACGGATCAAGTTCTCAAATATATATATTTTAGTTTTATATAAAATATGTTTATAATTATGTAATATAACATCATTTTAAATGTGATAACAGCCCCAATATTCGTAAGTTGATAATATTAAGAATCTCACTTAAAAATAAATTAGAAACATGTTATTATATCTAAATTGACTTCTTCAACCTATATAAATAAATAAATAAATACCTCGAAACAGTACCATATGTTTTTTTTTTAAGATTCAAATCAATTCGACTGTTTTATCATTAGTTTTTGGTTAGTTTAGTCGATTCTTTAGGCATTCGGCTTTTGTTGATTAGATTAGAAACTCAACTGGTTCATCAATGTTTCAGTCAAATTGGCTGGTCCATCTATTTTTTTCAATCATGATTTTCAGTTACATCATTATAATGACAGTTAATGAGAAAAAAAAAACACGTGGATCAAAAATAAGAGGAAATACAGGGATGTTAATTTAATAATTGAAAAGTTAAAATTGGTATACTGATGGGAAAAATCTTAATAAATTAAAAAAAAAATACATTTGGATCATGAAAAATTAGATTAATATTACTTAATTCTTATAAAGATAAATAATCTCTCCAACTCGAGGGAATTAGTCTTTGACTTTCAACTAGGAATATCGTTGGAACAATTTTCAAAAACAAAAATTCATTCTTTTGTGCATAAAGCGTGAGATTAAGAGACTAATTATTTCAATATTTCAAAAGAGAAAAAAATTATAAATTAATCTTAAAAAAAAAATCGAAAGAAGCGGTGCAGGGAGGGCGAGCGCCACCTCAGCTTCGTGGTTTCCTTGCACACAACACAAACTTTACCAAAACAAAATAAATAAAATAAATAAATAAAAATAGAAAACGCACACCATTTTCGATTCCATTGCATTTCTCCGTTCCCTTCCATTCCATTGTTCTGCTCAGTTCTCTCTCTCTCTCTCTAGGGCTAAGCCATTCATCAACGGAGCCATGAACATCTTCAGGCTCGCCGGTGACATGACCCATCTTCTCAGCATTCTCGTTCTCCTCCTCAAAATCTACGCTACCAAATCATGTTCAGGTCAGTCCTCTCACTCCGGTTTGGTTCACGGTAAATTGCAAAATTGGGGGAAATTTTGATTAAACCTTTTTATTAAAAATAAAATAAAATCGAATTGTTCTTTTTTAAAATTTATTTATTTTTTATTTTTGAGTGTTACTGTATCAGTCGCATTCCTTCGGTAAACAGAAATTGATGAATAATTAGCGATGACTTGTTAGTTATTTATTTGATTCCATTGGTTCCCTGATTTAATGGAACTGTTTATTAAAAAAGAAATAAAAAAAATTGGGGTTGATTTTATGATTCCAGGGATTTCTCGTAAGACTCAAGAGCTATATGCAATGGTGTTTGTGACACGTTATTTGGACCTGTTCACGGACTTCATCTCCGTTTACAACACCACCATGAAGCTGGTGTTCATTGCGAGTTCCTTGGCCGTTGTGTGGTACATGCGTGTTCACCCTATGGTCAGGAGAAGTTATGATAGGGAACTCGACACGTTTCGCCATTATTTTCTTGTTGGGGCTAGCTTTGCTTTGGCACTTGTCTTGCATGAGAAGTTCACCTTTCAAGAGGTCTCGTGCTTTTTAACTCCCCATCTTTTATATATTCTATTCTTAGTAGTAAGCTTGATATGTTATTTTCTTATTATTCATAATTTACATTGTGAATGATTTCTCTACGCAGGGTTTTTCTTGCATTGATTGGCTTTTTTGGTTGTATACATTATCCTATTATTTGTTCTGCTTTTCCTACTTTGAATATGCTTTAATCTATTCGCTATGTATGTTACGTTTTTTCTCTCTGCGATCAAATGCGAATGTGAGTAAATCTTCACGAATTTCCTTCGCTTTTGAAATTGAAATGGTTATTTTTCAATTGAAATTTAAAAAATGTGATTTGGGTGTTGACAAATTAGCTTTGCCTTTGATTTGAATGGTAACTTTACACTGTGAAAATGGATTACCGAGAGATGGTTCATTGGACGCTATATTCTTTATGAGTGAGGGATTATTACCATTATGGCCTAACTTTAGAACAGCTAGTGGCAGATTGATCCTTGCATGTTCCAGTGCTTACCATTAAATTATATAATATTGCTTGAATCCTTGGAAACCATTTCTATATATCCAAATCTCCCAAACTCCAGTACACACTGAGAATCAGTTTGGGTTTTGATTTTAGTCCTTCCCTTCCTTCATTTGCCTTCAGATAGATTCTTGAAAATTTTGTATATTTGTGCTTGCAAAGCTTCATTAGATTATATTCAACCAAAGTTTTCAACATTTCATTGAAGACTGAATGTATTTCCAAACTTCTCGGAAATGTAGTGAAATTTTTTTACCCTTTATGTTTTCTGGCTGGAAAATCATTTCTTGATGTTGCTCTTAGAAAAACAAGAGCTCAAAGAAAAGAAAACTTTGATCTACAAAGTTTTTAAGTTTTTTTCATGTGGAATCTCCATGAGATTGATCAGTGATTACAGTTTGGTTGGATGTCAATTGTGTACGATATTTACTGTATCACTTCTAGACAAAGTGAATGAGTAACTTTCAAGTAAGATTTATGTGGTCCATATGATGCAATATAGTTCTTAAACTAATGAACAATGTTTGCTGGGTGAATGTATTTTTATTGTTATTGTTCTCGTAACTTTTAAAATACTTTTCTTGGTGATTGTATGAGTATCAATAGATTCTATGAGGGGGATCAGTGTCATGTTGCCTTTTGGACCAGTGTGATGCTAAGGATTGTTGTTCTTCCTTATCTATTTTATCTCCTGCTTTGTCATACATATGACTTGTGTCCTATAGAGCCTCCATACATCATTTCATAGCTGAAATTTTTTAAAGTCTCAAGTTATGAGAACCTGTTGTCATTTGACCATAGAAATTGGCTTTTTTTCTGCTGCTCGTAATATCATTTTTGATAGTTGTATTTACCTACAGAAGTTCAGTGCTCTATGTCATACCTCTTTTGCCTTACTGGAATGAAAATGTGTCAATTTTTTTAAAATAAAGTTATGAAGCTATTGTGGCATGATGATCCTGTAAGTTTGTAACATTTAGTTGTTACTTTATCTATTAATCCATCTCTTGCTATGAAATCTGTTTTTTGGTTGCTTCCTGATTGGCTATGTAACGTAGTCAGGTTCTGAGTACAATTTAGATTCTTAAGTGGAAATATAAATTTGATTTAGGGACCCATGTGGTAGCATGCTTGAAAGGGTTGCCAAGCTTCTTGCATTTTTAAGCTAACACTTGGAGAAAAAGATACTCTGTTGATAGTTTAAAAAATTCAACACTTACATGTGACCTTATGGCTCTGATACATGATTAACTGGGAAGAGAAACCATAAAATGTTAAGGTAGGCCGCTTATGTGTGATAAAACTTCTGGGGACATTATCTACTTCCTTGTGGAATCTGCTGCATGTGTGATGGAACCCAGAAAAATGAATACAAACCACTGACATATTTCTATAAATGCAATTGTTCGGAGGAGACAAGCTCCTTTACAATACTGATAACAGCAAGAAACAGAGCCTCAACACTCTGAATACAGACTCAAACAGCAACAGAAATACAAGATAGTAATTAAATGACACTGCAAGAAAGATAAACTCAAAAGACCTCAACTCACCCTAAAAGCCAACATACCTAGGCTTCAAGAGATCCCTAGAGATCCTTTACCAAAACCTCACTCCAATTTCTCTGAATACATGCCTCCAGAAACCTCACCCTAAATATCTATATATACTAATCCTAACTAATGATAACTAATGGGCTTGGATATTTATTGAAGGCCCATCAATGTGTAACTGGTCTTTCCTTCTTACTTTTTTCTGGTAAATATTGCATAAGTTACATCAAACCTGTCGCTTGGTTTCAATTGTCTTTTTGTCCAAAATAAACTGCTTGTGAGCTTGTACATATTGATTGTCAATATGGATTCTTGTGTGCATTACATGTTAGCTTTATGATAATTCTGTTACACATTCTAACATCATGAATATGCATGGTGACTTTATATGAATCTATTGCAGATTTTCTGGGCATTTTCAATATACTTGGAGGCAGTGGCAATACTGCCCCAGTTGGTTTTGTTGCAACGAAGTGGAAATGTTGACAATTTGACTGGTCAATATGTATTCTTTCTTGGGTATGTACGCTTCTGTTGAGTTGATTTCTCTTTTAATATCTACCTTGATGTTTTGGTTGCTTATACTATGAACATCCACCTTTATGCTGGGCGTTAGCAGATAGTCCTTTCTTAGATATTGAGAAGTCTTCTAGTGACAGTGGCATACCTAAAGAATCAAACTTGCTACCTTAGAATAGCTAGCTAAGAAATTGAATCCCTTCAAATAGATGTGTTATAGATTATACCTCTACTTGATATGTACATGGTTGTCACAACTTTTTTGGATGTTACCTGATTTGCATGTCCTGTTTATTGGGCCAAATTAGCACTTTTTTGCTTATGTGTTTCCTATCTAGTCTCCAGTGTTGATGCTTGCATAATTACTTGAGCAGTTAGCTGTAGAAGTTGTACAGGTTTGTCAGTTTGAACTTTGAACTAGTCTTATAATGTACTAATTATTCTTAAACTGCAGTGCATATCGTGCATTTTACATTCTGAACTGGATATACCGCTACCTGACTGAACCGCGCTTTACTCGATGGATAGGTAATAAATGCTGAAAATAAGAACTACTTTTGAAACTAGATGTCTACTCTAGTAATATTCTGACTACTTTCTTGTTTTTACAGCTTGCATCTCAGGTGTCGTTCAGACAGCTTTGTATGCAGATTTCTTCTACTATTACTTCATCAGGTAACGATATTTATCTGATAATTTCATCATGTTTTTACCATGCTGGTATAACAAGGCGGTAATATCAGGAATTTTGTTTTGCAGCTGGAAGAACAATTCAAAACTAAAGTTGCCTGCTTGAATTATCTCAAGGTTGTTTTGGAATTTGGACCCTTGTGAGATGAGTCACTGCTGGATTTTTCAGAGCGTGGTTTGGATGATGTTTAGTTTAGAGAAAGACGAGATAAGGCCAAGTCCGCCCCCTACTCATGAGTGGGGTAAATGGGATTTTCTTTTTCTTTTATTTTGTACGAGGGTAAATGGGTTTTAACTTCTGATGATATAACCGTCTCGTAGCAATTCAAGATTAGGTTAAATGCAAATGTCATATGTGATTATATGTTTTGTAGATTCACGTCTCCATTGCATATTATTGTACAGTTTGTAGTGTAATGTAGCTGATTTTTGGTTATGATAAGAATGATTCCTGGCTTAGGTATGATTACACTGTAAAAATTATACAATATCTTCTTTTTACGGAGGTAGCAAAATGAAAATTTTCAGTCAGAATATTCGTTTACGTGATTGTTCTATCGATATTCTATTCTTTCAAATGATGTTGATTGTTTTGACCATGAACGAGAAATTCTTAGGTAGATATTATTTGGGTTCGTTTTTTTTTTTTCAAGTTAATGTAGATCAGTTATTTACATTGAACTCAAAAGTTTTGATGTGGAAATTTAGGTATTTTTTTAATTTTAATTTATTTCAAGATTATAATAGTCTTTCTCATTATAATTTTTTAATTTTTCAATCTAAAACGATGTTATTTTGAGAGTAAATATAGATATATTATTTACATTGACTTTAGAAATATTAAAGCCATATTATTTACCACATAATTATCAACAGCGGCCTACCTTAAGCGAATTTTATCTGTAATGTACCAGTATTTCTTGCTCGAAATTACATAAGCAATTGCAAAGATTAAAAAAGAAGTATCAAGTTGCACTTCATTCAATAGTTTTATTATTATTATCAATTGTTTTACTTTATACAATAATTGATATGTGTAAATTTGGTGGCTTATATTTTTATATAAATAATTAAATAAAGCGCTTAAAGGATGATGTGTTATGCAATACCTTTTTTAAGAATTTCTCTTAAACTAAATCCCTTTTTGAACGTTGGGAACAACAAATGTTAGGAATCACTTAATTTATAATTGAAATATTGTGCTTTGGAAAGTTATAAAATAGGGTTTAATTTAATTTTGAAACTCTTTAAATTTAAGTTCGTGCGAATTTATAAAGAGATAGGATTCTTTGACAGCAGTGTCAAATTTAAAGTTTAACACCTCATCTAAGAGTTATTAGATCAAAAAAAAATCAACAACTCTAATTTATAAGCATGTAACACCATTATTTTTTTTTATCTAACGACTATCAGATGAGGTGTCAAACTTTAAATTTGACACCGATGTCAAAGGATCCTAGCCCATTTATAAAATTGCCTTCAATATTTTGCCTACGTAATAGTGAGGGATTTGAGTAGGTTATACTAGGTTATATGTTTAACTCCCACGTATCCAAAAAAAAAGTACAGTATAGCCGTATGGCATAAAGTTGGAGTGTTGGACAGCCAAGGATTGCTTCTTTGTTATGGGAAGATTATGGTTATTGGTCTTGTTCTTGACTATAAATACAGAGCCACATTAAGTGGAGGCGATACCTTGCCCTAATTTATTTTATAAAACGTGGCTAAATAACCTATCATATTTTAGTAATTGGATTCTCCTTATCCCTAGCTGAGTTGGAAAGCTGACTCTGTCACTGTATATATATGAAAAGGTATTATCCGTGCTAGGTAGGGATAATTAAGATAATATTTAGACAATAGACGATGGAGTAACATAAAACAAAATACGATGTTTTTTAACTTCTAAAAGTTCAGAAACAAAAGAGACATTGAGAATGTGCTAAAATTTCATCTCTTTCAGTAATTTTGTCACTTATAGATGCACCAAAGGTTATAAACCTAAATCATATTAACAAATACTTTATTTTAAATTAAAACAGTCATCACCTACAAGCAAAATATATTATATTTTTAAAGAGAAATAATAAAACTATTCATGTCTTCACCCAAATTTAAATTTTCAAAAGAATGGGTTACGTATATGATAAAAGGCTATGATTAAGTAATTTAAAGATTAGTGCTTATCACATCAATTCCTCTAAAAAAAATAAAACTTGAATTTAAGTACAATATAAGTTTTAGGAAGATTTGGCTGCATTTAAAATGTTAATGAAGGAGCACCGTTAAATTACACTGTCGACGCAAAAAGGCAAATTTTTGAACTAATCTATAAAAAAAATTCATTAAATTGCGTTTGGGATCATTAAATTATACAAATGTAATTGTCAGTAATTAAGGATGTGAACAAATTAGATCAGGACCTATTACAGAACAAGTTAAATTAATTGTTTTAGAAAATATTTAATAAAAATATTGTGTTTCAATTCAGGTCAAAAAACAAATATAGATTGACCTATATAAATAAATATTTTATTATTATTCATTATGATGTCTTGAAATCATATACTAATTAGCCTATTTAAAAGTTTGAATTCTTGATCTATTTAAAGACCTAAGTCCATTAGTTTTTGTAAATATCCATCAGCGAATTTAAAAATAAGCATATTATCCTATTTAATTCTGTTTTATTTAAAGGTTTCTTGCAAAGTAGATCATTAAATAGACTTTCATGTTAAGCTAAATTTTTAAAAAGGTTAGGCAAAACTCAACCATTATGTTTAAAACAAAGTATATTAATTTCTAGCTGATCAGAATCATTTTTATCTAGACTGACCATGTTGATCTTCCTCTACACATGTGATTCGATGCAGCATTAGCTCTTTGGACTACATGGAACAAGGTGGGGGGTGTACGTGCAAAACACTCTCATGCTCAAGTCAGATTTTATATAAGCAGATTTTTCATGTAGAAGAAGATATGTACTTTATGTTTAGCATATTCATATTTATAGTGAAGAGATGACCAGCTTTGGGAGATGTCCCTCCAAGTTACCTGCAAGTGGTAAGGCAACAAACTATTTTCATTGGTCCTTGTTGTGGGTGGCTTGAGATAAGATTTTTCCAAAAGTATCTCATCAGTGGAGTTTTGCAGAAGCGACATGACTGAAGCAACCTTTGTTGACTGAAGCAACCTTTGTTGACTGAAGTCCTTTTTTCATGACGAAGGCTTTAAATGTGGGCTTTCTTCATGGTAAAGGCTTCACAAGCGGGCTTTAATATATTAATTCTATATCAGAAGTCCCTCAGCTCGTTATTTTATGCTGACAGCATGAGTAGTGAGATGTATAAGTCCTCAAGATAAACTATATGTTTGTCAACCTTATTTTGTACTATGGTATCTATTTTTCTAGTACTTTAGAGTTCCACAAAAAATATTTGTGCCCTGCATATTATATATACATTTCGCAATTCATATATTTGTCCACATTTCTACTTTACATGCTTTTGCTTCATTTTAGGGAATCCTTTTGTTTTTGAGATGCTCTGTTGTTTTTGTGAGATGACTTGTTGCTTTAGTATTCAAATTCTTGAATGCATTTCTTTGTCTCAAGGTTCACACCTTAGGGTGGAGTTCAATTCTTCATTCTTGGATGCCCAAGGCTCACGCCTTAGGTACTAATCTAGGGTTCAGACCCTATATTAACATTCAATTCTTCACACTTGGAGTTCAATTCTTTACACTTGTAGGCCTAAGTTTCATGCCTTAGGTACTAATTCAATTCTTCATTTCTTTGTGGGGTTCTGGCTCAAGTTCATTTTTTTTCCGGGGGATGTCTTTTAGTACTTTGTTCTTGTAGGAAAATTTTAACTTTTTGATGTCGACATCCTGCACATTAATTATGTGACATACAATCTCGCAAGGGATATAATCAAGTTTTGATTGAAGTATTCATAAAAAGTCATAATAACTTCCGTTAATATTCTATCCCGCTGCCTTCACAATGAAAATTCATAGAGATATTCAACGATAACAAGTTATATTTTCAGGCTTGTTAATCAATTGAAAGTAATAATGAAACTTAATAAAGCTTATGCATTCAAATTTCTAGCCGGTGTTGAAATACATTTCGCAGGACTGCATATGATTCCTTCGTTATAACACCATCCCATTATATTGCTATAATTTTCACCCGGCATTAAATGAGATCATCAGTTGAAGGAACTATTTTCACCTTTGAAGTAATTCACTACTTACGTAATAAATGCTCAATTTTGCTATAAATAATTTAAATTCTAGTTGTCATATTTTTCATGATGTCTTCAATGAACTTCATTTCTGTCTGCTGCTAATTGATCCCGCACTTTCCACGGGTAGGATCCGTTTGAATGACTTTTTTTTCTTCAAAAGTTGCTTTTTTTAAGAGGGAAAAGCACTCCTCGAACAAAGTTTATTTGGATGTCTGCTTTTAAAAAAATAAAAGTCGTAAAAAAAGTCAAAAACTTACTTTTTTTCAAAAGCTAAAAATTTTAACTTCTAAAAAAAAAAAAAGTCAAAAATCAAATTTTTTTTCAAAAATCAAATATTTTTTAAATATCTAAGTAGCTATAACTTTTATAAAAGTACTTTTTAAATAAGGAAGTCATAAAAAGAACTTTTTTTACAAGTCAATACAAAACGAGCCTCAGCCCGTTTGTTTCACCTTTTAAAAAAAAAAAAATTATCTATTCCTTACTTTAAAAGTACTTTTTACAAAAGTTAAAGCTATTTATATTTTTATAAAAATATTTAGTTTTTAAAAAAAAATATTTGACTTTTGACTTATTCCTTTTGTAGAAGTTAAAAATTTTAACTTTTAAAAAAAAGTAAATTTTTGACTTTTTTGTGACTTCCGTTTTTTTTAAAAGTAGACATCTAAACGAACTAAAAATGAGAAGTGTTTTTTTTCAGAAAAAAATCAACTTTTGAAGAGAAAAAAAAAATCCATCCAAACGAGTTAACGAGCTGACATCCTGCTTCAGTGCTTCTGCTTCTTGGGGTATGAATTCTGTGGCATACCTTTTGACTTATTTAGATAAACGTATGTGGTTTACCTTAGGTCAATGGTTTCGAAAATCGACTTTGTACTTTGTCTACATGGCATTGAACCATATGCTCCATAAGATCATATTACCTGAAGAACAGGTCATTTGGAGTTAACAAAGTAGGACTCAAGACTGGGCAGTGCCACACCCTAATGTCAATTCAATTCACTGTCTCCCAAGAGAGATGATGATATCCTTGGGATAACAAGGACGTAACTAAAAAGATACTATATACTTATCTTGGATAATCTCGCCCCGTAATGTCTTATAAAATATCGAGGAAAAAAGGTTCATTGTAAAAGTCCTTTGTTCACGAAAGTGTTATTGCTTTCAATCTGGTTGGGCTTTCGAATGAAGATTGGAATTTCGAGGTCCAAACTAAATGCACACAAAACATAGTAGTTCGATTTTACCCAAGGTGTATCTCATCCCGTATAATATGTCAACCTCATAAGTATATCAAGGCATTTACTTCAACATGTCATTCCACTATATTAATACTCTTGGATATAATGTAAGGCTGGCACAATAACTTGGTAGCATAATACCATTTGCAGAAATAAACAAACAAACTGATACAACCAAAAAGGGGTTTGTAACTGAATAAAAGACCCCAAACCCTCATTAATTGGAACATAAAAGATATTATTCTATAGAAAAGATCAATTTAACTCTGCTAGAATAAAGAGTTTAGAATAAAAAGTAACATACCTTAATTATTGATTGATGAGAAGAACAAAGAGAGTAGTTTCTAATAAATTAATAATTTGTCAAGGACATGCATGTGTTTGTATCATAATATCCACGATTGATCTAAACCTTGAGCAAACCATGATGGGTAGAAGCCCGTTTGTTTCTGGCATTGTGGTAGTAAACAAGCATCTTGTCTCTAGGGGGCAAACTGTCCTTGATCACAGGGTGGCTGAGAAAATTGGTCATCCATGCAGTGGTGGCTGAATACTTCAATGGGTCTATTATTTGAATTGATCCAACTTCCTCCCAAACAGGAAGCCAGTAAGATATCCATCCAAGTGCAATATCAAGGTACCCAATATTGTCCCCACCGAAGAATTTTTTCCCCTTAATCTCTTCTTCTATCTTATCCATTACTTCTCTGGCTTCCTTCAGTGACTTTTCCCGTTCATCCCCGATGGTACACATTGCAACCCATACAACCTTCCCAAGCTATTACATATGTATATACAAAGCAAGCGAAAAACAAGTTATTCAAAGTGTGAGGTTTTGTATAAAAAATCACATTGGAAGCCTCTCTGTTTTATCAGAGCCAGGTTTCAAAGTGAACCTGGAATAATCAACCTAGTATTTACTCAATAAATGATAGTAAAACAGAAAAACAATTTCGTTTAAATTTCTAAAAATTAGAAAAATGAAAGACATTCTCAATTTCTATTAAAGCAAAGTTAAAACATTAAAAAATAAATAAAAATAAAGAATGGAACACACTATGCAATATGCTTTTAAAAAGATTTATCTCCTCAATTGGAATCCACAAGTATGTTTTGAAAAAAATAAAAACAGAGAGGACGAATAAGAAAAGTAAAGGGGATTAGATTAATGTATTATTACCTTTTGTTCAGCAGAAATAGCCCAAAAGCGAGCAATAGCTCTTTGATAAGGATGTTGAGGTAACAATGGATATTGCTTCCATGTTTCATCAATGTATTCGAGGATGATGAATGATTCAGCTATCGCTTTTTGATCATGGACAAGAACCGGAACCTTCTTAGAAACCGGGTTCAACTCCAGAAGAAGACTGCTCTTGTTGGTGATATCTTCTTCTACATACTCATACTCAACACCCTTGAGTTTCAAGGCCCACTCAACCCTTTTACCATATGGACTTACCCAAAAGCTTAACAGCTTCACATCTTGGCTTCCCATGATTTTGTTTCAGAAGTTTATTTCCTTCGTTTCTTCAATGTGTCTGTTTTATTAGTGTGTTTGTCGGTTCTCCTCGTAACTACACAAAACTATAAAAATGTCATTGTCTAGACTCTGGACACCTGTTGGAAATGCGATAACACACGAATCGAAAACGGAAAAGAAAAAAGATAGAATAAATATAGCGATTTATTCTGATTCATCCAATTTAGACTACGTTCAGCTTGTCTGTACTATATTCACTTCACCGTCACTCACTCATTACAAGTTTCTAAGTTTACAAAATATAATAAGATTATAAAACTCTAACAGCAGCTATGAATCCAAGCTCAAACTACTAAGAAAATTACAATAAAATAGAGACCTGCAGTAGTACCTAGCCTCTACGGGCCTGGAGGCGCTGTCCCCCAGACCCCGTCAGCTCACCTGAAGGCGAAACCCTAGATATCTTTCTGCTGACCTCAATAATTAAGATCCTTATCAACATTTAAAGTATGAGCCATACCTAACGGAGACGGCAAATTATGTACTAAAAAAATAGATAAAAAGAGACGGCAAATTTGCCCAACTGCCGTCTGATTGCAGCACAGTCACTTGGTGCCGTGTCTTGCACGGTCCTCGTAACTTTCCAACCACGTGCTTTGCTTTTTGATTTTTGTGAGCTTTAGGCATGATGTAAGCAACTATGTCAGAATAGTTTGGGAGCTTTATATAAAGCCAAAATAATTTTAGGGGATTATATCTATCATTTAACGTGATCAAAAAAAATTTCTTATACACACAATATTTTATGGGACCCGCATGTTTTAGAAAAAAAAAACTACAGCACACAAAATAAATCTCTTTTTTTTTGGAAATACAAAATAAATCTCTATAACATAACACAATCATATTTCCTACAACATAATTCTTATAAAACTCATAATTTTAAGTATATTTTACTTTCTTTCTTTTTCTGGTGTTTGAGAACCGACATAAATTTAAAATTTTTTTTTTTTTAACAATTTGATTCTCACATTTTTTTTCTTTCAAAAACAAACTGTAGATCGATTAACATATTGACTTAAGGCAAAGATAAACTCTGCTCTTGTTAAAAAAAAAAAAATACTAAGTTACTGTTTAGCACCTATACTTAGATTCCACTTCACAAAATCACTCTCTATTTCTAATTCAAAAAACTAATCTAATTAAATTAGGGAATAAAATATCTAATATTATTTTAAGAAAAATAGGATATTCAATGAAACGATTTTGTTTTAGAGTTAAAAAATTAGAATAATAAAAATTATTATAATCTTAAAATAAAATAAAATTACAAACACATTATGATTTTCGCCTCACAACATTATTACTTAGTAAATATTAGACAATATTTTTAAAATAAAGTTAGAAAAAATGAAATTATGGGTAAATTTAAAGTTATGTTAATAACTTTTCTATACATACAATTGTATACTAAAAATAATAATCTTAAACTAAACACAAACTAATACTTTAAAACGAAAACAACAAATAAACTGTGATACTGAAAATAAAAGAAAATTAAAACAAAATTACAGAAGAAACGCGACAACGAAACAGTATATTTTCAATTTAAAAAGAAATAAAACTTTAAGAGTTAAAGAAGAGAAATGAGAGAATGAATTATTCTTTCTCTCAATATTACTTTCGTGTTTCTTTCCCTTTAGTTTCTTCTTTCATTTCTCCTCTCCTTTTCTCTTTCTGCTCCTCTCTTTCAAATGCGTTTGATAGAAGAGAAATTTTTTTATTCAAGAATCTCAATTTTTAAAAGTATAATTTCTACATTCAGTTTATAATTATATTCAAAAATTAAAAATTAAAAAAAAATTAATTTTCCAAAAATTCAAAAAAAAAACTTGTACCAAACACTCCCTCAATATATTCTTTTATTTCCTTTGTTTCTGTTTTACCATCAGCATAGCATATGTATATATAGAGAGAGAGACTTGCCGACTTTTTTTTGACACAATCATTTCATTTAGTTTCGTTTTAACCAAACTAATTAAATTCTATTAAAATCTAACGAAATATTAATGAAATAATTATTACATGTTAAAAAAATCTCGACGTTTTTATCTCTGTGACTCCGTGTATCTCTTCCAGATTTTTTTACATTCTGTTTATTTACTTACTTTTGTTTTATTACTTTTACATATATATATTTATTATATTTTAACATATAATTAATTAGTTATTATTATTATTATTAAAAAATCAACGACACGAATTTGTAAGCATGTAACATAATTGATCTTTTTTGATATCTAATGACTCTCATATGAAGTGTCAAATTTCAAATTTGACAATAATACCAAAAGATCCTTATATATATATATATATATATATATATATATATATATATATATATATATATATATGCTAACGCTCAATGAGCACCTGCAAAGCACGAACACGAAAATTTTCAAAATTTTGCGTGTCCCATACGTGTCCGACACAGGCACGCTCGGACATACGTTCAATATTTGGGGACACGCAATCAATTTTTCGACACGTTCCGACACGTTTTTTCGACACGCAGTCAACTTTTTTGGACACGCGGTCAACGCTCGGACACGGACGGACATGTTTTTTTTTTAATCTTAATTTTATTTTATTAACTAAATATAAAAAAATAATTTATAAATTAATTTTTTACTATTATGAAATTTGACATGAAAAATTAACAAAGTACGAAAAATTATTTTTATTTATATTTATGTTATGAAATTTAAATATTTGATTGGTTATATGACTTGTAAACTCTTATGTGTATTAAAAATAAATTATATTATATATATTAAAAATTTATGTTAATATCAAAACGTGTCCCAACGTGTCAAAATATGACATTTTTTAGAATTAACGTGTCAGCGTGTGGTGTCGTGCCATATCCCGTGTCTCGTGTCAGTGTTCGTGCATCATAGATAAGCACCTTCATCCTCTGAAGTAGTGCTCAGCGTTGTCCTTGCACTTAGGGCATTGAATTTATTATTTATTTTTTGAGTATTGTAATGATCATGTTAACTAACATAACAGATAATTTATTTTTCTATATTTTAGAAATGACATGTTATTGTTTAAATTTTAAAAAAATTTAATTAATTATCTAGGTCTTTTTGGAATTTTAACTTTCTAAAATTTATATAATTTTTTTAAAATACCAACCTATATCTGTAATCCTAATAAACATGATTAATTTAATTTTGAGTTTGTGTCTATGCACTTTTCTCAAAAATTGCAATTCCTATAATTAAATTCACTACTTTTGGGAGAATGGAGAGACTTAAATCAAAAATCGGATTATCTTATTTTTATTTCCTTAATTTATTTATTTATTTATTTATTATTTCTTACCTTCTTATTCTTTTTTGTCTCCTATATATCCTTATTTGTATTTAATTTTTTTTCCTTAAAATTGTGTACTACTTTTGTATGGAAAATATTTTACATATAAGTTCATTTTTCTACAAGTCAATATAGTTAATTTATCTACATTGAGCTCAAAATTACGTCATTTTAAGGCTAAATCAAGGTATTTTTGTAATTATAATTATTTCTGGGTTATAATAGTCTTTTTCAATATTTTTTTTTAATTTTTCAACCAAAATGACTTCATTTTAGGAGCGAATATAGATAATTTATCTACATTCACTGTAAAAACATTTAAGCCTTTATATATAGGGATAGGATATTGTGACAACCAAGTAAAGTTACAACCAATGTTACTACCAATCAATCTCACCGTTAGATTGGTAGTAGCGATCTGACGGTCCTCATTTAATTCTTAAAAGCCCCTCAGTCTTCGTTTCTTTCTCTCCCCATTCTCTCTTCCCTTCTCTCTCTTTCTCTCATACACTCTGCTGCCGCCGATCTTGCCCAAAGCCTTCGTCGCAGCATAATAGACTTACAGAATTCGAGAACAGATGCTGTCTCACAACTCTCATAATCCCAACACCCCTCTTATGTTTGGATGCATTACATTTTAATTGCCAAATGTAAGTCTGGAGATGTTATAGAAATTTTAAAATACCTTTGTGTTTTTCTGACACTCTTATCAAATATCTAAGCAAAAGTTGTAAGTCTATTATGATCCAAGCATCTTTGAGAATGAAACTAAAGATTTAAAAGTTGGCGAACAGAATTTAAGTTAATTAGTTATCACAATTAAGTTTTTCGGGTTCAATTACAAAACTCCTTTTAACAGAATTGGAGAAACCAAACTGTTCTTCGCTGGTAAGACCACAAAAGAGATGTTCTGCGATAAAGGTTCACCATTTGTATTCAAATATTAATCGAACTAGAACCGCAATAATTTATCTGCTCAAAAAATCGAATCTGGTAAAAATCGAACCCTATCTCGTGTATTCGGCGAAGCTCTCCGCGGGATGCAGCGGCGGCGGGACAGAGGTTATGGGCAGCGGCGCCGTCGCGATGGAGGCTATGGGCAAGATCGGTGGCGGCAGATTGTATGAGTGAGAGAGAGAAGGGAAGAGAGAGAAGGGGGAGAGAAAGAAGCGAAGACGGAGGAGCTTTTAAGAATTCAATGTGGACCGTCGGATCGCTACTACCAATCTATGATTGGTAGTAACTTTGGTTGTAACTTTACTTGGTTGTCACAATATCTTATCCCTTATATATACTTAAAGTTTATTTTTATCATTTTTTCTCAATTTTCCGTACCTTTTTTTGGGCCCATTTACCACCGACCCAAATAATTTGGGATAAAAGTGTTGTTGATGTTGATACTTTTAAAGTTTTCTATGCTATAATTTTTCATAAAATTGTATAATTGTTATTATGGTTGTATTAGTTTTTAAAACGAGAAATGTATATCGTTTATGAGAAGAGAATAACACAAAAATTATAGAAGGGGTTTAGAGGATTTTATTTTTATTTTTAAATCTATTCCAAACCTTAAATAAAGTAGTGTGGTCACTTTATAAGTTTATGACAAACTATTATCAATTTATGATTTCGTTGGGCTAATCAAGGAATAAAAAAAGAATTTTAAAATTTATAGTTGGTTTGATTTCATCTGTATTGATGTGTCATATGTAAATACTTTTTTAAGTTTCAATAAAAACCTTTGAATGGGACAATTTCCCCCCTCTTTTTTAACTTTTTTGAACCAAAAAATTTAGTAGAGACAAATTCTGTAACATGGTTATCTGGTATTAAAAATGGGATAAATATGTTATAAAAAAAAATGGGATAAATATATCTGCCTTTAAGGCAAAAAAACAAATTCTGCCACAGACACATAATTTAAAGCGGTCCATCATATTCCTCTCTCTCATTCCTTTTTACTTTTCTCTCTCCATGAAATTGACAATTTTTTCTGACTTAGATATGCTTATCCCGTTAAAAATCCAAGTAAAAATAGTTATGACATAATTGAATATGTAAATTAGATAGCCTCTTACATTGGCATTCAGGACTCATCAGAGAGGAGTTTCAAGTCGAAAGCAACACATGTGACAAATGATTTAGGTAGGGGCGTGTAAACTAACCAAAAAATTTAACCGAATCATGAACCGAACCGAACCGTCCCTTAAAATAATTAATTTTTAAAAATCGGTTCATGAACCGAATCGATTATTAAAGAACCAGTTCATGAACCGAACCGATTTTAGAATCAATTTAAGAATAGAACCATTTTGAACTGAATCGAATCGTTTCCGAACCGAACCGAACCAAATTGATTTTTATAACTTTATTTTCTAAATTTTTTACTTTATATTTTTCTTTTCAAAAGAGGATCAACCCGAACCAGTTCCGAATCGAATCTAATCGCTTCCAACCGAACCAAACAACTTCCGAACCGAATCAGTTTTGAACCGAACCAAATCACTTCCGAACCGAACCATTTAAACCAATTCAGTTTGATTTTTCAAAAAATCCGATTCGATTCAAGCCTTCCACGTCTCTAAATTCAAGCTTATATACTAACAGCTTTGCCTGCGCATATGATAAATGTGGTAATGGAGTGTGTATCCTCCACGCAATTTAGCATTGTGTGGAACGGTGTTAAAACCAACAGCTTTAGCTAAATGAATTGGCAAACGGTCTGTTTGCCTAAATCCATGGGGGTTTTATGAAGAGGTATGATCCATCCTAGGTATGGGATGTGACAATAAACATACTGAGTACTAAACTCTAGCCATAGAAAAGTGCGAACAGTATCATTTATGGATTTGAATCTTTTCATGTAGAAAAGCAGTGTCATTTATTTAAAAATTATACATTTTTTTTCTCTTATCTCATCATTAGTAAATGATTGTGATTAAATAATATAATCACTCTTTCACGTGAGAAGATTTAAATTCATGATTTATTGAACATCATGTTTTTTTTTAGTAAACTATTGAACATCGTGTTTATTATCAATTAAAATGTTAAATTAAAGACATTGAAGTATGATTTAAGGGAAATATTTTTCTTATGTTGATGGAGATAAGTTATCTCATGTTAGTGACACAAAATTATAAGAGGGACCCATAAATAATTGGAAAGAGAAAAAATAGAGGTGGAACCCACTTTTGTTATGTGTGTGTAGGAATTTGGTTTATCTTATGTTGAATGAGATAAATATAACCCATGATTTAATGGCATCACCGTTTGTTACGTACGATAATATAATAATGAAGCAGATAATTTGACATAAAGCTGACCAACTTCATACATAATTAACTGGAGCTCGATATAGTACGGCTTGATAACAACTCATAAGCAAACATAGTGATTCAACCAGAAGTGGCTTGCAATGGAATTAGGAACCCAAAATACAAACCAAGACTTCTTTATGTTTCCATTCTACCCACACAAAAGATTTATAAACCCTTTATTTAACAACAGATATTACTCTATAAAAAGGACAACTTTCGTATAGAGACTTGACCCATTTCTTATCCAACTAGGTTGGATTACTATGATATGCACATCAAGAAACATAAACACAGATGAACAGATCTAAACCTTGAACCAGCCATGAAAAGCTGAAGACAATTCCTTTCTGCGACTGTGGAAGTAAACAAGCATCTTGTGTCTTGGGGGCAAGCTGTCCTTGATCACAGGGTGGCTAAGAAAATTGGTCATCCATGCAGTGGTGGCTGAACATTTCAAAGGGTCTATTATGTTCATAGATCCAACTTCCTCCCAAACAGGAAGCCAGTAAGAGATCCATCCAAGTGCAATGTCAAGGTACCCAATATTGTCCCCTCCAAAGAATTTCTTACCCTTAATCTCTTCTTCTATCTTTTCCATTGCTTCTCTGGCTACATGCAGAGCCTTCTCCTGTTCATCCCCACTGGTACACATTGCAACCCATGCTGCATCCAAAAGCTATCACATATATACAGAAACAAAAGAGCCATTGAGAAATTGCTATAAATCTTTCAGTAAATTTTCAATCACCAAGTTCGTTTTAAAACCAAAAACAAAGAGAATTAGAAAAATAAAGTTGGATTTAATAAATAACCTTTTGTTCAACAAAATTAGCCCAAAAGCGAGCAAGAGCTCTTTCATAAGGATGGTTAGGCAAGAGTGGATATTGCTTCCATGTTTCATCAATGTATTCAAGGATGACGAATGACTCGGCGATCGGTTTATGGGCATGGACAAGAACCGGAACCTTCTTGTAAACCGGGTTCAATTGAAGAAGGAGACTAGTCTTGTTGAAGATATCTTCTTCTATATACTCATACTCAATACCCTTGAGTTTCAAGGCCCACTCAACCCTTATGGCAAATGGACTCACCCAAAAGCTCACCAGCTTCACCTCTTGGCTTCCCATGATCTTTGCTTCAGAACTTGATTTCCTTGGTTTCTTCTCTGAGTCTCTGTTATTAATGTGTTGATTTGTTCTCCTCGTCATTTATGCAAAACATCAATGTCATTTTCAAGAATCTAGAGACGACAAATTTGACTACATGCCATTGGACTGGTTAGTGAATTGGCACCGTTGTTAAAGTATCCAACTAATAAAGTGAAAAATAAAATAAAAAAGAATATCTTATAGGGATTCTATATGTTTTATTTTATAGGAATGAGTCATACTAATGACATCCTTAATTTTTAATTAAATAGTTATGAGTCACTTGCAAAATATGGATATATTACAATTTATTTATTTTTTTGAAAAATGTTAAATCAACGAGCACCATTAAGTTACATTGCCAATAAATATAATAAGCCACATCAAATCAAAGTATCAAACTACTTTTGAGATCATTCAATCACATAAATGTAGTTGACAGCAACTAAGGGAAAAAAATTTAGGTGGCACATGCCTATGAAGGTCTCCACACATTAACGGAGTGAAACCTAGAAAAAAAAATGGGAAAAGTGTGTATAATTTTAAAGGATGTCAAATTGTGTCATTTTAAGAGAGAGAAAGAGATAGATAAAGGAGGAGAGAGAGTTGACAAAAAAATAAATAAAGGTGTGGGTCCCACCTCTTTGTGAGAGTAAAATGATGTAAGTTGTGTAATTTTAAATGATAGACACTTTTCCCAAAAAAAATTCCCCCTCTTTTGTCTCATTTCTCTCTCTCTTCCTCTCCATCCAATAAAATGTGCTGCGGAAGCACTTAAATAAACCTCCAATTAAGGATGGAAAAAGGTTAAATGGGGACCTATTTACTAAATAAAGTAAGATTATATTAACAATTTTTTTTTTACAGAATTACAAATTACATTATATTTGAATTATTTTAATTATAAGTAAAGGGTGGTTTTTTGCATAAGGATCTAAGAACATATGATTAAATTGTAATTTAGCCTCTCTCTTCTTTCTCTTACTTCTCTTTACAAAGGTTCACATGGGCCCCTCACAATTTTTGTGTGTGTATTTTGTGAACATTAAATAAAGTTACCTAAAGTAATATTCAAAACTTTAAACCCTTCTTCATTTTAATAACTTGAAAGAAATATTAAATATTTTCCATTTTCAAGATATTAAATCCTTACCCCTTTTATTTTAAATTTTATTTTCTGTTCTGTATCATTTCTCGAAGAGCATCTAAAATCAATATCTTTAGCTATAAAAAAATAATATCTTTATCTCAAATTAGTTGGGTCGATAAAAGATAAGTCCAAATAAAAAATATAAAGTAATAAAAATAATAAAATTATTTTTTTTTATTTTCACTTTTTTATTTTAATTATTTAGTTATTTTGTAATGGACAATGTTATATATATCTTTTAATGGACAATATTTATTTTTTTAAATTGTATTTTTAATTTTTTTTCCTCTATTTCCCTAAGAGCATCCGTTAAACAATCTTTACAATTTTGACTAAATTAATTTTAATTGATTTCAATTAAAATACTCAACCTTTCATTTCATTAGTAGAGTTAAGAGTAAAAATAACAATGATAAAGTTAAAAAAGTAATCATATCGCGTTTTAAAATAACAGATAAAACGAAAAAAATATTCATTTGCTAGAAAAAAAAATTTCTTTTACAACAGAAAATTTTCTACTTCAGCAAAAAAAAAAAATCATTTAATACTTTTTATCTGTTTCTCTACAATTTAATTAATTTTTCTTACGAGTAATTCAGATTCCAAGTAAAGGGCAGTTGAGGAATATTTACCAAAAAAAAAGTGCAGTTGAGGAAAGAATTTGTGCAAGTGGGAGCGGTTAGTGGGCTAAGATCATCTGGGCCAGAGCCCAAAATATCTGTACGGCATGCTATCATGCAATTGGGAGGATCCAATATAATGGTTAAATTGACCTAATATATATTCTTAGCCAAAGTACTTACATCTAATCCAAAAAGAATATAAATCAGATTTAGTCGGGGAAGACAAATTTTCGCTCATATTTAACAGTAAATAATTAATATATTATTATGCATTGAACATTGTTTTGGTTGGAACAATAGGAGTGAAAGAAAATTTCTATTTTCACCCACTCCTTTATTAAGTGCAAACCCTAACTTTAATATTAAAATGCTTTCTCTAGTATATATATAGCCCCCTTCTTAATGTCACACCATCATGAGCTCTTACATCATACGTAGTCTTGTTCATCACAATATATTCTTAACTCGAACCATCGTGTTCAGTCCTGCACAATACCATATACTCGTCAAACCTTCAGTCTTGGACAGAAAAAATATCATCTTAATTCTCGATTAAAGAAATAATTTAAAGACATCGAATTATGACTTATTGCCATCAATAATTGTAGCATACGAGCAGGATAATATGACATCGAACTTACCAACGTCACTTAGAGCTAGCTAGAGTTAGATATAATGTAAGGCTTGCATAACAACTTAATCCCATAACAGCGTTTACATAAATAATCAATGGTTATGTTTATCTCATTTTACGTAAGATAAACAATTTTTCTGCACATATAAAAAAGAATTGAGTCTCACCACTCTTTTTTCTCTCTCCTCTCACATGTAGATTTCACTTGTAATTTTATTTCTATAACGTAAGATAACTTCTTTCCTACAACATAACATAAGAAAAATATTTCCCAATAAACAAACATACGGATACAAAAAAAAGTTGTAATGGACTAAAGACCCCAAACAACAAACCTAGATATTTTATTATTCCCTCTCTTGCCCACTCCCAAGGTTTATACAGCCTTTATTTAACAAAAAGATATTATTCTATAAAAAAGATCAATTTAACTCTTCTAGAATAAAGAGTTTAAACGAAAATAATAACATATCTTAATTATTGATTAGAAAAATAAAGAGAGTAATTTGTAATAAATTAATAATTTGTCAAGGATATGCATGTGCTTTAATATAATACTCTCAGTACTCTTTTAAAAGTGAAATTTCATTTTAAAACTTTCCGAGATATATACTTGACCCGATGCTTATCCAACTATGTCAATCTACAAATATCTTGGACCGTATCACATGCACCTTAAAATACATGTATATGAAAGAATTGATCTAAACCTTGAGCAAATCATGATGGGTAGAAGACCATTTGTTTCTGAGATTGTGGAAGTAAACAAGCATCTTGTCTCTTGGGGGCAAGCTGTCCTTGATCACAGGGTGACTGAGAAAATTGGTCATCCATGTAGTAGTGGCTGAATATTTCAAAGGGTCTATTATGCGCACAGAGCCAACTTCCTCAAAAACAGGAAGCAAGAAAAAGATCGATCCAATTGCAATGTCAAGGTACCCAATGTTGTCTCCTCCAAAGAATTTCTTACCCTTAATCTCTTCTTCTATTTTCTCCATTGATTCGCCGGCTTCCTTCAGTGACTTTTCACGTTCATCCCCGCTGGTACACATTGCAACCCATGCAGCCTTCGCAAGCTATTACATTACATATGTACAAAGCAGTCGAAAAACAAGTTATTCAAAGTGAGGTTTTGAATTAAAAAAAACAGTGGAAGCCTCTCTATTTTATCAGAGCCAGGTTTCGATCCTGGGACCTGTGGGTTATGGGCCCACCACGCTTCCGCTGCGCCACTCTGATTGTTGATAATTATCTCTCATAATATATATTTAATCAAAAGCAACAGTTTAGTTTAGCGAGTGCTTTAAAGCATAATATTCACGCAATAAATGATAGTAAAACATAGAACGAACAACACTAAAATTTTCATTTAAATTTCTAAAAACTCGAAAAATAAGACGAATAAGAAAAGGAAAGAGGATTAGGTATTGTTACAATTCTTGGTATAGAGCTACTAAGAATCAGTCCACTAATCGAACTAACAGAAAACATAAGAAACAACACACAAGAAATTTATACTTGGTTCAGAAATTCTTTGTATAAGAATTTCCTACATCCAAGTTGGCCAGAGAGGGTCAAATGCCCTCTAGCATGCACTAATATTCAGAATAGTAATAGGTACAAATATGTTCAACAATTTACATATACCAACAGCTCACACAGCATACACTGAACTATGTAAACAACAGCACTACTCAAGATTACAGAGTAAAGAACCTTCGAGACCAGAAGGTACATGCAAAAATATCAACAGTAGAAAGAATAAAAGAAAGGTATCACCGAATCAGAGAGCAAACACCAACGAATTCGTTCTTCAGCTCTACAACTCCACGGATCAGACTTCACCAGCTAGGAACACTTCCAAGCTTCACCTTCGTTTACTGTTGACAACATCTTCTAACAATGCTCCGATCAATTGATGCACCCTCACACGAGGATCACTTCTCTTCAAAGAGCCAAGATGAGATTCTCACTCTTTTTCCCTCAAATCTCCCTCACAGACACTCGACAAACCCTAACCCTTTTCTTGATTTCAAAGAACCCGAGAGAGAGAAGAGCACAATCTGAATAATGCATAAAATCTGATCTTTTCTTTCTTACACGCTAACGTCGTTTACACTTTGATATGTATATCACCATTAAAAAGAAACGCAGCGTTTTAACTATTGCTAACATAATACTGCCAAAAGATTAATAAAGCATAACTGATTTGGGCCCCAAAATAATAATACCATATTCATATTCTGGGCCCATATGGCTTAAACAAATATTATAACAAGTTCCAGTATATGTACAAAACAGATTCAATGATGGGATAAAATCAACAATGACTATATCATATATAAACAACATGATATTACAAATTTAGGAAATACTCATAACAAATCTCCACCTATTTACTAAACATACAACAGAATAAAGTGCACACCAGAGTTTTCTGGCGTTTAACCCAAGGCCTATGCTATGCATGCAATTTAGGGAGGTTTTATTTTTAGCAAATTTAGAGCCTCCCTAAATTTACTAAGAGGAACCGTCTTAGTCAAAATTTCTGCAGGATTAATTTCAGTTGGTATTTTATTCACACTAACCTGACCATTACTA